AGTGCTCTTAGCATAGAATTCAAATAATTTTTAAAATACAACTCTGTGCACATTTCACTGGAACAGACCACCACCCAAAGTAAGGTCTGCGAACAGATCCACAAGTCAGCTTTCGCTGTAATAAACCATTAAATTAGCGACACAGACCTTCTGTTGGAACCACTTCATAGCATCTTCCTTGGTCAGGCGATGCTGGAAACCAACCATGCCAGTCTTCCGCCGCCTGTAAGCCACATTGAAACCTGAAACATTTGACTGTGATTAGAAAATCATCTCTCATAGGAGACAATGACTGAATTGCAAATCCACTGAACTTGGCTGCTCAATGCAGATCACCTGATTTTGTGCCAGCTACATCATCCTTTTGTTGTCCACTGCCTGCTTGGTTTCAAAAATGGCAATCTACACTTCATGCTCTGAGATTTCAGGTTATTGTGGCAATAAGTATTAAAATTATGGTCCTCTTGCATGTGGCACCACATGGTTTGGTAGATGGGTATCAATATTTCAGAGAAATCTGTTGCCTCTACCTACCAAACCACACAGCCAACTATCCCATATCATAATCTTCATACTTCACATCACATGTCAGCATTCAATGTTCTACACTCTGTGCAAACTTATGGCAGCATATATTCAACATTTCCTGTTTCACCCCTTTAGTAACATGCCCAGTAAGTGCGTGGGCATGGGTTGCAATAAAGTGAGTTTTACTTTAGCACACTTTTACTAAGTAAAACCTCAAAATATGGGTCATACTTGAACAAGAGTGCATCCTTACTTTTTGATACACAGAATTGTTTATAGAACCTATACACCATTGTTCCAATGTAATATAGCAAAATCTAGAATGACAAAACATCAAACACAGCCTTTTTTAATCTAGTTCATTTCCATCTTACTAGTTGGAATAAACACTACACAAATGAAACTTTAAAATTCTGAAATGCACCAATGTGTAGAATTAACACTAAATACTCAGCAGTCTAAAAATTAAAATAAACACCCCATTAAACAATTTGAAATATTAAAGAGCAACACCATGAAAACAATAAGTGGAACTTCCACAACATTCCTTGCAATATTATCACCCTAAATAAAAACTGAATTACCTGGTCGACCCAGCACAACATAGAAATCAAGACCATAGATTCCAACACTGGGGTCATACTTGATACCCAAGTCAATGTGTTCTTGGATGCCAAATCCAAAGTTGCCCGTGTCAGAAAAATTGTCTTTCCTCAATTCATATTCTCGGACCTGATAAAAAGAAGTTCAAACTGTAAAAGTTTAATAATTACAAATCACTGGACAAAATATACATCAAGAATATCCTTACCCACCTGCATTATAAGGGGAAGACCCCATATTGTGCATCCATAAACTAGAATTTAACAATAAATATTGCTTACGATGAGAAACAGGTGGGGCGGCTGAAAAAGTAGAGCAGGACTGCAAAGACTGAATTCTACCAAATAAAGAGTTCAAACAGAAATCTGTTATCACCTTCAACCCTCGCTCCAAAATCTCTTCTGCCTTGGCACCTCGAACAGTGCAGTGAACAGCAATCTTCTCATTACGGCGGATGCCAAATGACCTGACAGTGTATCTTGCTTTAGAAAATACAGGCTGTTGCCCAGTTAGGGATTCTAGCACCTGAAAACAACTCAACAACTTTATTCTGAATATTTATTTAACTTTTTGTTTCTTGAATATAGTAACAGTATTTTCTGTTCCTTCCCATTTGCATCACACCCAAAGAACAAAGTATGATGTAGGTTGGGTAGAATTTACTTTTGCACATTTTGACTAAGCAACATCATTAGTCTGATATCACTTGGTACCGAATTATGTGCATATATTTACAAACAAACTAAAGTTATTTACCTTCGCAGCTCGTGTCAGTCTATCACCAGACTCGCCAACACAAATATTAAGGCAGAGTTTGCGAATGCGGACCTCCCGCATTGGATTCTTGCTTTTATCATTTGGTTCCTTACGAGGCTTCTTGGCTTTCGTAGGTTCCACTTTCTTGTCCTGAAGAAGGGAATATTAGGTTACATTCAACACTCATAGTTCAATACAGAATCTCCTCACATCACGTAGTGATGCATGTTCGAACTTGCACATGGCTTAGAAGCTACATCAATGTAGCCGAAAACATTCATTTTCTTGAGTGGCTTATATTATGACACTGCAATTATACCAGCAATCTTATTTTCATTAAAAAGAATCTTATATATACATAAACACCTACGATGATTACAAATTTACAACATTACATATAAGACTACCAAAACTTACAGCCATCGTGTACCGATCAGAGGAAACGCAAAGCCTTATGGTAGCAGAAATAAACACTAGACCTGTTTCCGTGTTTTGTTGATACGTCGTCTGCTAATTCGCACGTATTTGAAAGTTAGTTAATTGTGACCAAATTTACAGCAATAACAAATCCATAAAAATGAAGGAAGCTGCGAAAGTTGGAGAAACGGCTGAGTTCCAGACAACTTCCCTAGATTCTAAAGAACGAAAACTTGTCCGGCGGTTGAGAATTCAGAGAAGACTACAGAAAGCACAGCAGTAAGCTTGTCAATCAATATCTGAGCTAAAAATTAACGTATGGAACAAACGGTAGAGTAATATACAGAGGATCTGACACAGCGCTGGTCGTTAACGCTTTTATGTGACGCCACACTTGTTGTAAACTTCAGGCATGAATTACACAAATTATATAGATGTATGAAGTAAGGCAGTATAGAACGGCCGAAGTCCACAAAAAATTTCGGAGGAACGCACTGCCCCCATCTTCAGGGTTGAAGAGTAAGCCAGGTAAGAAACCAGCAAGAGGCAGGCTCTCCTTTCAACCTGCTTCTTGGTGGGCTTATTTTTCAACCTTGAGTATGGAAGCAGTGTGTTCCTACTAAATTTGCGCCCTTTAGGGTAAAAGATAAGAAAAAGGTAAAGTTGTCCCTGTTTACCTAATTAAGCACTACGCCATGAAGACGTATGGGGGAGTGGATGTATAAATCCACATATTTCTTGAGGTGAGTGGTCACCTTCACGCTCCAGCTGCTTCACCCCCAGGGAAAGAACCCCCAGTGCCCATTGGATAGGAGGCTGGGTGGACCCCAGAGCCTGTCTGGATAACATGGAGAAGTGAAAATTCTTGCCCTCACCGGGACTCGTACTCCGACCTCATGGTCATCCAACCCGTAGCCATTTGCTATACTAACTGTGCTATAACACCATGTAGTCCGTGGAAAGTTAACCAACATTTCAAAGGAAAACGCCCACTCTGTCTTCAGGGTCAAAGAATAAGTCAAGCAAGGGAACAGCGTGAAGCACGTAGCAAGCTTCTTGCTTGGCTTATTCTTTGACCCTGAGGATGGAAGCGGATGTTCTTCCGAAACGTCGGTTGATTTTCAACGGACTATACAGCGTTTTATCCCGTATGATAGAATTCTTCATAAACACTGCTGTGAGAACCTCAAACATTATATAGTTGAATTTCCTTACTGTCTATACAATACATGTTGGGGACAACAGATCAGTGTTTATTGCAGAGTGACTTTAATGAAAATTTTTTACCTCTGCATTACCAACACAAAAATACCCTCTAGATCCCTCTCTAATGGGAAAGCACTATAAGTTCTCCTTTCCTTATTTACTCATTTGTAAAGGTCATTTGTTTTCTCAAGCTTTTTTGTAATATGAATTGTACCTTCTGAAACTGAGAGTTTTAAAAATATTTCTATTTAATATGATGATATACCAGTAAAGATTAAATCTGCTGGATGTTGCAGACAGCAGCACACTGACGTGTGCCAGGAGCATGAAGACATGGATAACAAGACCATGCTGGAGAAACAATTAGAGAGTAGCGAGAACCAGCTGGAAAAATTGCTATTGGAAGGGAAGGAATTGGTGAGATTTGGGGTTGACAAATATACATACTATATACAATATTACATCAATTAGGAATATATTTTTGAGAAAAAACTTGTATACTGTAAGCTACAGTATCTCCATTTTCACGGGTATGATATTTCATGTGCTTAATTGGGCACCATGCTTTGAAGATGCATGGCGAGTGGTGATATAGTGTCATATGTTCTTAATCTTGACACTAGATGGGTAGGTGAGTGGTCAGCCTCAGGCCCAGGAAACTTAAGTTCTGGGGAAGAAGCCGTTAATATCCATTAAATAGGAGGTTGGTTGACCCATAGTCAATGTTGACGCTGTGGAGAATCTTTCCTTGCTGGAAACTGATCCCCAGTTGATCATCCACAGCCCAAAGCCTAGTCTCTATACTGAGGGAGCTCTCCTGGCTCCCTCTTCATGGCCCAGGCCTTAAGTCTGTTCTGTCTCAAAAGCAGCTGAGTTAAAGTATCAATATAATTTAATAAAAACTTCTTACATTTCAGAGACTGGCTACACCTCATTTCAGTAATATATCACAAAAACAGACTGACTTCTAGTGTATATCACTCAAGATTTGCTACATTTACATCAGACATTAAGTTATGTCTGCGGTAATGGAACAGTTCTGCATTTTTCACTTGGTCACAAATTCCAGAAACTTCTTATATTGCTTTAAAAAATGAAAATTTCTTTACTTCAAGACGTCATAGACTTCAATTTATATTACTGTGACACAATTTTAATGCAAGCACAAGAGCAAATACATTTTATTTATTATGATAAAAGTAGGCCAAACAAAGGTCGTTATGATTTTGAACAAAATTGCGTTAAAACATAAACTCTGTTATCTAGAAATTATATAGATTTTATAAATGCAAAATACAGAAATTCAATTGCAGCCCCTACCTATTATTTTCTTCTCACCACAATCTGTGAAAAGATTGAATGTGGCAACCTTGACGTCTCGCAATACTATGGGCCTTCACGGCCTCTTACAGAGATAGCTTTACCTGTTATTTTGAATTTTAGTTTTATTTGTATGTAAGCATATAGAAAATGTTTGAGAAAAAATACAGAAATGATAATAATATCAAAACAATTCATGATAACAGAAGAATTGGCATTGCAAAATGAATAAAGGAACTGGGATATCTGATTTATAACTACTGATATGTAAAATATAAAGCTTCTTCTTCATAATATATTTTTCCATATTCAGGTAACAAATGTTCGCATAGCAACTGATGCTCGTGAGGTAAGTCGAAGGAAAGATGAAGTTGCTGCAAAGGAAAAACGTCTCAAGAGACTGGAAGATCAAACAAGGGAGAGTGCAGAAAAATTCAATGAAGTAAATTCTAGGTGGAAAGTCATCTTAGAGTCAAGTGATCCTCTGGATCTACATCATAATATAGAAGAACAGAGAGGTAACTAGGCACGAGTTTCCTTGTTAATTTCTACGGGCACCAAAAGATTGTACAAACAGGGAACTCATATGTATTTACAGCTTCTATTTTAAATGCATACTGATATGATCAGTAATTAATGGTATTAATGGACAGCAATTTACTGCAGTATTATGCAGTTAGCTTTGTAACATAACATAAATCTGCACTAAATGAATCTCAAGGCAGAGATATTCCAAACAGCAATATCACATTAAAAAAAAAATGTATATACATGTGTGTAAACTATATCAGTAATAACATCCAAAATATCTGTATTCACATATCTTATGAGAAAAAATACAGGAATTTAACATTCTTTGATTATTCACAGGGCTAGTTTGAGAGCACAGTTGAACCAATCAGCCACCTAGGCTGGTACGTTTCAAAAAGCTCTTCCTCTTTAGTTTTGTTAAATGAAAATTAATTTATACTAACACGTTGTTGACCGGCCTCCGTAGTCTAGAGGTAACATTCCCACCTCATGACTCGTGGTACGCGGGTTCAAATACCCGGCGGAGGTCGTCAAATTTTTAAGGGCGGAAATTTCAGGGAACAAGTCCTCTGGAGGGACTTTAAGCTGTGTGTCCCGTGTCATAAATCTACGGCATGTAAAAGAACCCCATATCCCCAAAAGGGATCACTGAGCCAAAATTCAGGACGTTCCCCACCCAACAATAGCCTCTAAGGCCTCTGATAGATGGGGGAAGCATTATAGACACCGCTAAGCAAGTGGCTGAACTCGCTTGCTCGGCGGGACTGATGGTACGCACCATTTATCGGTAGGGTAAAGAGACTGGTAGAATATCATAGAGGGAAGCGCAATAGATCAAACTGGTCGCGGTGCATGGGGAAACCCACCCTCTCTAAATAACTGACTAACTAACTAACATGTTGTTGATATCATGAAGATCAACTGGCATTAAACTAAGCATATAATTTTTAAGAATTAAAACAGTGATGATAGTCCTTTTCACAGTGTCTGGGAAATTCAATATTATTAGCTGCGGAGAAGGTAAAGAAAAAAGGTAATGCTGTCCTTGTAATGGGCCATGGAGGCCCCTAAATTTTCTAGACAGTTGGCTCACATGTGGAGGTGAGGCTGTTAGCCTTATGTGCCAGCCACCCTTTACCCCAGGAAGATTCCTGGTGCTAGTTTCTGTTAGAGGTTGATTTGACTCCAGGGTCATGTTGCAGCTGGATGGATTAGTTCAATCAAAAAATCCAGTGACCTCATCAGGAATCAAACCAGCGACCATCCAGCTTATAGCATAGTGCCTCAACCAACAACACTGAAATTTTCAGAAAATTAATCTGTTTTTAACTGATGGGGAGTGGGGGTTCTTCTCTTCCCACCTGGGGTGGCATTTAGTCTTGCCCATGCCAAAATCTTGTGTACTTGCATTTTACAGTGAAATGTGCAGAGCTTATTGCACAGAAGGACAAGCTCATCAAGGAGCTGAGGGAGGAACTGAAATTGGCAGATGATATGTTTGATAAAGATCAAGAAAAGCAAAAGGAAGATTTCTGGCTCCTGGCAGAGAGGATAGACAATCAAGTAAAAATGATGAGAAACGTTTATAAGGATGAGCTGAAGCTCATTGAGGTAAGGGAAGTTATTACAAAAACAATATATGTTGGTTAGATGTTTGATTATTTATAACACTGTATCAACTACTGAGATTATAGCACTGAATGAGATGTGGCAGGATGGTTGTGGACAGTCAATCAGTGGGATCAGAAATTGAGACTTGGACTATAGGTATTTGCTAAAATCACAGTATCCTCAGGATGACCAGTCTAGAATTGGATTCATCCCGGAGACGACTCAGATGTGTTACAGCTGTGCCATCCAGCTTCATAATAAAAAAGCCAGTAGTAGGAGGCAATAGTGCAGAGTATGCCAACTCAATCCCAAATAGGATAAAGGTAAAGTAACAGTGTCCCCATGCTTAATCTGTTAAGTATCATACCATGAAGAAAAATAGAGGTGTGGAAGTATAGGTCCACAATTTTTATGTCAGCACTAGCTGCAGGTGAGTGGTCAGCTTCATCCCAGGTGAAAGAGCCCTCCAGTACTCATTGGATTTGAGGATGGGTGGGGCCCAAAGCCAGTCTGGATGCTGTGCAGCAGACAGAAATCCCTTGTCCCTATTGGAAATCAAACCGCAGCCACCCAGCACATAGCCCATTGCTATACTGACTGAGCTAACCCGGCTCCTGTGTCAGATGGGGAAAGATTTTTTTCAGCTCATATTATGATTTTCATTACATGACCGAGTACCAGTGATGATGCTGGGGGTAGAATATAAAAATCCCTGCCCTTGCCTGGAATCAAACGCCTCCCAGATCCTACCTCATCATTACATTCATACATTATTGGGAGCTAAGATCTGCAATTGAGACAAGTCAATTAGTTCTATAATACTGATATGTGAACGTGTGTGCACCTGTCTGTTTCTAGGAAGTGATTGAACTTGAGCACAATGAGCTGATGAAGGTGAGCAACAGCAAGTGGGAGGCCCTGTACAAGGAACATGAGAAGCTTGAGATAAAGCATATGGAGAAGAAGTTCCAAGCAGTTAACAGACATGAGGATGAGATATGCAGAATATCTGTGGAACATCATGAGAAGTTCAGAGAGGTTAAGCTCAAGCTGCAGACAGACATACAGGTTTGGTTAATGCACAACTATGTAGATGTATAGCTGGCTGATGAAAGTACGTGGATGTAAGTGAATGTTGACAGAAGTTGAATGGTCCAGAAATCATTGATTTGTTCTTTAAAGTTGGATAAGATGTTTTAAAGGTATGAGTGCATTACTGGACAATGTTTTAACATTATTTGGATAGTTGTGTTTACCTTGCACAACATTAGAGATATTACTTAACCTGATTTTCAGAAGAGAGGTGATAGTCCACAGAGATATTGGCTTTTAAGATAACTAAGAAAAACACAATATTTCGGAAACTGGATCTGTTTCCGTCCTCAGGTGAGGGAAAACACTTACTCCGTTGGGTCCCTTAAAAAGAGCTAGCCTCAATCACTGGACAACCAATTCAGAGTCAGAGTCAGAGTCAGAGTCACGTTGCAACTGACGGTCAGTCAGTCTGTCTGTCTTGGTGTCGAGCCCCAGCTGGGGCTCATGACCAGATATTTCTTTTGAATGAAAGTTACTGTCTTGTCTATGTTTAGCGCCCTCTCTGACGAGAGGTCGGGTCTGTCATTTGTTAGTCAGTCTGTAGTATTTTGTCATTGTCTGTATTTACACATATTTACAGTATACCTATTTCTTGTATAAATGTACAATATTTACACGGCCTCTCAGTCCAGGCTAGGTACAGCAGATTATGCCCTTTTATATATATATATAAATAAATATCCTAGTAGTATTAGCTATCACGGGAGTCTAGTCACTTGAAGGGTCGTATGCCTGACCGCCGCCAAGTTTAAGCCTCTTATACTTTGGACAACCAATTCCACAAAACACAAAGGTTATAAACACCTGAGACCAGGCTAAGTCCATGAGAGCTAATAAGAAAAATATACATTACAAATTGTTCCAAACATGCACAAGCGTGGAACCAAGAGAGACAGAGCTGAAAAAATTTGTCACAAAACCAAACCACTAACCAGGTCCATAAATACATGGGATGGCATGGAAAGGAGAACTAGTAAAAAAAAAATTAAGCTCTCTTGCAGACTAAAAAGCAACAGGATCAAAAGTTCTGTGACACCTATTCTGTTGGGTCCCTTTAAAGAGCCAACATCACTCACTGTTCCACCAATTTCACAAAACACAAAGGTTATAAATACCTGAGACCAGGCTAAGTCCATGAGAGCTAATAAGAAAAATATACATTACAAATTGTTCCAAATACGTACAAGCGTGGAACCAAGATAGACAGAGCTGTAGAAATTTGTCACAAAACCAAACTAATAACCAGGTCCATGACCCCACGGCATGGAATAGAAAGGAGAACTAGTGAAAAACTAATAGTGTCTAACTAGCTTCAACAATGGAGTAAATCGTGTCTATCTAATTTAGAACCTAACAGAAATCAATAAAAACATATATCACGTCATACAGATCTATGTGAATTGGTGACTACATTGCTGATAATGGGGATCCAAATGGGAGAAAAGTCCAAACTGGGTTGGCTAAGCATGCCATATGGCATGCTTGGGGCCCAACAGAATAGGCGTTTCCCCTCACCTGAGGACGGAAACAGATCCAGTTTCCGAAACATTGCGTTTTTCTTAGTAATCTTAAAACCAGGACCATGGATAAAGTCCGAAAACCCAATATCTCTGTGTGTTGTGCACCATCGTCAGAATCCTATAGTAACTAGAGGTGATAAGCGTTTGAGTCATTAAACTATAGCTATATTCAACACTGTGTGAGTAACGTTTAATAGGTACACAGTAGTGTAGTTGGTTGACGCACTATGATACAAGCTGGAAGATCGCAGGTTCAAGTCCCAATGAGGCGGAATTTTTCAATTTACATAATCCTTCCAACCACACTACGGCCCAGGTGTCGACTCAGCCTCTAACAGAAATGAGTACCAGGAATCTTCTGGGGGGGTAAAGGGCGGCCAACGTGCAAGGCTGACAACCTTACCAACATCTGTGAACTGATTGTCTAAAGAAAGTGTGGGAGCCTTGATGTCTCAAAACCCAGTGGGTCTTCACAGCCTGTTGCAGGGATAGCTTTATCTTTTTTTTTTAATATGCATACACTTTTGGAGTTAGCTTAACTCACCTCTTTAGGTGACTAGGTCTCATTTTACAGCCAGATATTTCTTTCTTTCTTTCTTATATTTGTGGCATCAGGTTGTATCAAACCTAGAACCCTCTGAACATTATTCATATCCAAGAGTCATATTCAAAAAGTTACAGGTTTGAACCTAATTACTGACACCAATACCAAAAAAATATAAATATCTGTCAGTACAGTAACAGTTATTACCAACCCACACTATATGGGAGGTCACTTCTAACCATCCAGTTACGAATTCCTATTGGAATAAGTGGTGATCACTGCTCCAGTGATTGAGACTAGCTCTTTCTAACGGGCCCAACTGAGCAGGTTTATCCTTCCCTACCCACCTGAAGACAGAGACAGATCCAGTCTCCGAAACGTCGTGGTCTTTTGTCTTTTACATACCAGACGATGGATGAAGTCCAAAAGAAGCCAAAAGAAGTACAGTATACACCATCATCAGAATCCTTTCAAGTCTATCTGTATTGAACTATGTTTTCAGGTGCTGCAACAGGAGCTGCAAATTGTGAAGACACAATGCTTCATGAACAGTGTGAAACTTGACTACAATTTACAAGTGCTTAAGAAGCGGGAAGAGGAAAACCTCATTGTACGAGCGCAGCAGAAACGCAGAATCAACAGGTGCACTGGATTCTGTCTATATTGTGCCCTTACTAATTTCTGTTACATGTACAGATAAACTGCCTGTAAATCAAAAAGCATAACCTTGAAAACATGATACTCTTGATATAAAGAGATGACAAATTTCTGAGCAGATAAAGTAATCCAATGATTTGAAAGAACATGTATCATCTTTTGAAAATTGCAAGAAACTCACAGGGTTGAATTTTCAAATTTATAAACAACCTACTTTAGAGCATTTCAAATCGCTGTTAGAAAAGTACAATTAAAAGAGTGTAAACCCCTGGTGTCTTATATTTCTATGACGTTAAAATTGTAGAAGTTATATAGGTCAGATATCATGGTGATTAAGGAGTAACTAATTGTGGAGAGGGCAGTCCTTCAAGGCATAATCTAAAGAAAAAGCTTTTAGACTTAGTAGTCAATTCCCTAATCAGGATGCAAGCTAAATATCTTTTTAACACAAATAAAGTATATTACAGAAAAACTGAGCAGGCTTAGCTCTTAATGCTGTCATCTGGATTAAAAAATGTTCCTCAATTCTCTCCTATAGCACATGTCACAGAAGAAGAGAGAGAGAAACCACTAGGTTCTAAAGTCTTTCAGGCACACTTTAAATTACTATTATCAAGTCTTTGTCAACAGCTAGGGTTCATTTTTTTCTGAAAACTTTTACAGTATGCAGCCAATACGATTTTCTTTTTATCAGAGGGTACTGTATAGTGCACAAGAGATATGTGAAAAATTACAAATTTTCCAGGCTAGCGTTTTCTTATAAACTGTGAGAAAGAGCATGTTGAAACACAAATAGCTGCAATATAAACATGAAAGCACATTGTGCTGATATTTTTTAATATGCTAAAAAGCCAGGTTCAGAGGAAAAGCTGTACAGTCAAAAACCTGACCTTGGAAAACATGAATGGTCAAGCCCACTGTAGCCAGTACAATTTTAAAATATCTGTTCACAAATTTTGTTTAACATTGTCCTGAGTTACAAATATGTTAATGATCTAAATACTTCTTCTTAGACTTCAAGATGTGGTGACTGATCTGAAAAAGAAAATAGCTGCGACAGAGAAGTCAACAAAAACAGAGTCTGCACGGTTGACAGAGGAGGTGGAAAGGCTGCACCATAATATATTTGACATAGAAGGCAAGGCTGACCATTTTGCAGAGATGAATGACAGGAAGTATCAGCAGGTGTGGAATCTCAACAGAGATACTGCCAAGAAACTGCTGGACAAGGTGAGGTTCACTGAATTCCTTAATTTCTTAATTTAGGTAGTTTACAAAAGTGAAGGAAGATAAGTCAGAAATTTAAATCAATCAGATTTGACAAGATAATCTACTGACACCTGAGCAGAGACTTGTACAAATACCTGTTTTTAAAATTCAAAATTGAAAATGTTTTTCTATGTAATCAGTGAACCGAGCTGAATAAATCTTTTTGTACACATACTCAGGCATGTGAGTTTCATTCAAATTCACAGAGACAGACACAAGTTCTTTCCAGAACATAATTTTCTTCCACTATCCAGTATATGAGTAAAGTACAGTCCCTGCCAACAGAGAGATACACAAAAATTAATGACAACTGATCAAATGTAGTGTACATTCTACAGAAAAGAAATCAACCACATAGTAACATATGAAGTATATCAGAAGTTGTAACATGTGTTTTACATTAAAAATTAAAATGCATTGTCCCATGAAAATATTAAATTAGGTTTTCAATATGTACCCTGTCTATAAACATACAAAATGTAGAAAAAATAGAAAATACAGAAAACATTTTTCTTATTTCAATCGTGATAGGGCAGGAAGCACTTTCTTATGTAAAGGATCTTTATAACTTTATTGTGTTTCAGATATTGGACATTGATCGCATATTGCATGAGCAACAACTCGGACTGGAATGGACCTGTCCTGATTTGTGCCCGCTGTATCAGGAAGACCTGTCATCACATTGCTCTGCCATGCAGGTCGTTGCAGATGTGTCTCCTAAGAAAGGTGAGATAAAAAAAATTGCTGTCATCTGCAATTGGATGTGACACCATGTACTCTACAAGATGATTACCAATGTTTCAAAGGAACCTGCTGCCTCCAACTTCAGGACAGAGAGTAGTAAGCCAAGCATGATTATTTTTACTAACATTGCTAATGATTTACCATAAAATATGTTGTCACATTCCAGAAAGCAGTAGTCTTCATAGAACCTGAAGACAAATGCTGGAGTTGTTGAAAGGTATAAGGAGGACTGTAGCTGAATTGAACTCAATTTTTCCTTTTTTTTCTTTTTAGTTTTCTATCTCCTCCTGCAAGTCAGCATAACATGGCACTTATATTAATAATTCTTCTGTAAAAAGTGTGGACAATAAATTATGAATCTATAGGAAGTGGGAGAGGAATATACTAGGACCTGTAAAATTTTTTGGTCTCCTCTAAGGGGTTTACATTAGCATTTCCTAACTATGGCATCCACTCTTTCCACAAGCAACACATTCATTTTTTTCATTCTAATGCATTGGGCTACTTTTGTCCTCTGAGATGTGCTCACCATTGCTCATATTATTCCTAACATTACTGATACGTGTGGTTCCTTATTTAGAAAAGAATAATACACATTCTATGTGGTTTATTTAAGATGCTCATGACACAGAGAGTGGAACACGACCATTTGGATTCCCAATGACAAAAGAAGTGGAAACAGTGCATGCGGAGGACGTGTCAGTATGGAAAATCCTCAAATTGGTGGCCGACAATTCAGATTTTCTTGCTGAAAAACAACTCAAGGATCTACTTGAACCATATACTGACAAGGAGAAGATGCTCGTAAAAATTGACAGTGTTTTTACTGTAAGCTATAGACAATAATGTCAACTTTGTTTATTTCTCTTATATGTCTGCATTATAAACACAGTAAATCTAACAATTTAAGGTTGTATGACTTAGTCATTTATCTTCACACAAGACTTCTACTATGATATTTAACAATACATAATAACTGGTCACCAGAACCTTAAAGATTTGTCATGGAAATAACTTCAACGACAAGCAGCGGTCACTGATTCGGTATATTTCACTTGTGGACTACAGGCAACGGAGTTTGTTTTTTATGTACTACCTTTCAACGTACAACAAAGTATCTTATTTAAAGTTTACAGACTGAATGAATCATAGTATCTTGTAGAATGCGGGGTGAGTTCATAAATGTCTACTAATAAGGATTTATGGAAATTGTGAACAATATATGTAGATGTATTTCAGATTCTGGGAGTAAACACTGAAGCAGAGATATTGATGTTAAAGAAATGCTTCCTACCATATGCAAAGTGCAGCGTGTGTTCCACACAACAGGAAGAGAGGGCGACCACCATATTTAAGGGCTCCCATTCATCCCTTGGCAGGTGTGTGGCCTGCACTTTAATTTGTCTGTAAGACTGTTAAGAACTTCTCCATTGACATAGTCAACATTGTTACCTCCAGATTATAAAATTTCTGTACTATTGCAATGGGTAGACTCAATTAGAGATTTACTTTTTCCTGACATTTTTTAATTAGTGGTACAATACTCATACATAATTTATTTGTAAATAGCAATGATATTATAACCAAAATATGCATGAATCAAACGACCACTTATTATAACAAATATGTAAATTTTAATTCTTCTTCTAAATAATTCCATTCTAAGTTGTATTTGTATATCTCCTAATGAGAAATGGCATTTCCTGTAATCAGAGAGGAAATAGGATTCTTGTATTACTATTCTCAGTTTACTGCTAATTTCAATGGCCTATTCTCTAGTTTCTTTACAAAACAGGGAAAGGAGGTTAAGATTTATCCTGATATGTTAACAGCACATCAACTCCTGGAAACACAGATACTGCAATGGCAGGTTTGGTACCGGATACCAACAACAAATTTGGTGTCGAGTCTGCAGAAGAGGATGAACAGCTCCATGACATGGACATTACAGCAACTGAAGTCACTTCTACCCCTCCCACATCCATTGCTGACATTACAGGTAACATTATCAGCACTCTGCCCCTTTCTCCGCTGATAAACTGTACCAAGGGCACAGATATCATGGATGGTGCAAAATACTTTGTATGCAATTTGATTTACATATTTTAATAAAATTTAACCACAGTCAAATAAAAAATGTGTACTCCTTTACTCTAAAATAACTCATTTTATACAGTTGATGAACTTTTGGAGCATACAGCAAATAATTAAGTTACAGTGTTTGTTTAGCTTTGTATTATCTTTCAGCTTTGTTTTTTTTGTGTTATGCTTGTGACCAGTTTCATGTCCATTGTATTTTGGACTTGTGAAATGTGAAATATATGTATGTAGTCTTACTGAAATAATATGCAAAGATACTGTATCCCATTCACAAAAACTTTTCATGTAAATTTTAACTGTGTTTAAAACGTGTGCTGACTCACTCTCACTTTTTAGGTCCATACTGAAATTTATGGATTTAATTTATTTGTGGAAAGCACAATTACAGCCCAATTACATGAACCATAAATTAAATATATAATAAAAAAGGTCATACAAAATATTAGTACATGACATGCATGTAAAATTTAGATCCCCAAGTAGAGATCTATAACTTTTATAATATATTTTTGATGCTGTGCATATTTAAGATAAAATATGAAAAAAGTAATTATGCAAAATACTAAAGAATGCATTACCAATTTTCATGAACTGAATCATGATTTGCATATAGGTTAAATTACATATGAATAACTCATTCAGCAAGAATAGTCAAAACTGAAGAATTAGATTACAATGAAGAAATAACATACAGAAATTTGAATATATACCTTTCATTTTACTGGACACAGTCATATGTCTGCAAATTATCCATCAATTAGCAACTCCTATCAGTGATTATGAAGAACTCACCATTGGAAAATGTAATAAGGAATAATAAGAATGTATCTGACTCAATTATCATAAGTATTCTCCTGGGGACTGGCTGTTATGATTGGGATTCTTGTGTTTTTGCTTGCTCCTTCTAGGAAAATTAAAAAACAATACTTGAAATAAATCCGTACTTTGTCCCATATACCTCCTGAGTCATCATTCAAAACTGTACTACCATTTTTCATTTAATACTACACAACTAAAATATAAAAGAATTCCAACCTAAAAACCCATATTTAATCACACTGTGTTTCTGCGCTTACTGCGTGTACTTGTATTGGCTGTGCATCCTGTGGTGTACTTCCATGAATACCCCTTCACTCAGTTATAGCAGACACCCTGTCTTCCCTATTTGTCTGTTATAATGAGGGTTTGTTGCATTCTATTATTCATGATATGTACTTTCAGATAAACTTCACTTCATACACAGCAAACCAGATTGTCCTGACACACATTCACTTGTCATTGATCCTGTGTTTGTATTGAAAGTTCTACGAGATTTTGTCACCAAATTTTCTGCAGAAGAATACAGGTCAGTACATGGTATGTCAGGTAAATACTTGTTACTTGGTGATACAGAAGAAAGAGCACATCATGACAGGTATATTGGAATTTTGGGGAAATATCATAGCTGTCCTTCAAATTTCCTTCCATTTATATGGAGTAATATGAACTGTGGAATAAATAATGAAGAACTGCATATAAACTGATTACAGCAGCTTTGTAAATACAGGTGTTCATCGAGTGCATGTAAGATGTAACTTCTAAGAAAAATTCCAAAAAATCACATGAGAACCTTCGCCAAAAAGAAAAAATTACATGTACACAAGCATTTCAAGGTCATGTGTAAGCATAGGATACCTGCAATTTATAAAGATGCACAGGGACTACATGGACAGATAACATATTATATCTAAATATATGAAGTCCTACCATAAGTGCGAACAGAATCAATTCAAATCAGTTAAATTTCAGGGTGTTAATTTGAGCTTTTTCAATAGAATTCCATGTTGTAAAATACTAGCAGACTGCAACGTGTGTTCTTTGAATGAAAGTTTAGTATTCCTGGAGCATTCATTCATATGAAACTAAATAAGCCATATGTCTGAAAGGAAAAATGTAAAGAAAAAATTTGGACTCCTTGAGATTCCACAATTAAACAGATTTGTACAGCATTATAATCATTCACTTGGATTAGTAATGATAATAATGTTGGTATATCACTTATTTTATTCATTCACTCACTTATTTACATTCCATGGATCCTTACATGGCTGGAAGACCAGTGGATATAGAAATAGTCAAAAACAAGACAAATCCCATCAATCATATAGATAAAAATTAATTATACTTAATCCATAACAATTACACATGTTCTCCAAGACAAATCACAATGAGTAAATCTTTAAACAGTCATAAAATATATATGTAAAAGCATTCAACATTCTAATACAAAACAAGACTACAATAATCAAACATAAACATATACTACTAGGCATCCAGCGTATAACAGACCAAGATCATCAATTAATATTGAAGTTAAAATATTCTTCCAATGAGTAAGTTGAATTTAAAAGTAGAAATCTTTTTAAAGCAAATCTAAATTGTTTCGTGTCATGAGCTAGAAGAAAGATTATTAAAAACCTTGATTCCAAAATAGCATGTTCCTCTTTGAAATACTACTCTTAAATTACATATTGGATAATGGAAATTGTTATTGTGTCTTATATTAATGCTATGAATCTCAGAGTTACATTTAAACTGTTCCCGTTTTTAACCATAAATAACGAGAGAAATTATGCATGGTGATTGGAGGGACAAAATTTTCAGTTTCCTAAATAACTCCCTGCAAGAGTCTCTACTTCTAGAATTAGTAATAATTTTAATTACCCTTTCCTGTAACCTAAAAATATTAATACTATGGGGAGAACTGCCCAAGAAAATTATACCATAAGTCATAACAGAATGAAAATATGAGAAATAAATCATTCTTATTGTTTCCTGTGACATTTAAGGTTTAACAGCCCTGATTGCATAAGAGGCCAGACCTAATTTGGACATAAGCCAGTCGACATGTCCTTTCCATGACAACATAATGTCGATAATTAATCCAAGAAATTTTGTGTTACTAAATAGCAATCTGATAGTTACGATAGTCAATATGCATATCCACTGGATAGCCAAAAATTTTATAAAATATGTTTTAATGAAATTTAGTGTCAATGAATTAGCTTTAAACCAATCATTTATGTTTTTAAATATTTCAATAATGTTGTTTTCATAATCTAAAGGGCTGGAATTCATGATAATTATGCTAGTGTCATCTGCAGAAGGAACAGGTTTGGATTTTCTAATTATAATGTCTAGCAAGTCATTTATATATAAAAGAAACAATAAAAGTTCTAGAATCGATCCCTGGGGAACACCATTAATAACTTTGCCCCATCCAGAATGAATAGGCCAATTATTGATTACAACTCTCTATTATCTATCTTTGAGGTAGGATTTTACCAGTACATTGGCCTTACCAACTGTTCCATAAAATTCCAGTTTAGACAGTAAAACGTCATAAATGACAAAATCAAAAGCTTTCTTCAAATCACACAAAATGCCACCAACTAATATTTGTTACTCAGCACATTTAATATTTCATTAATCGATTTATACGAGACCATTTCAGTAGATGAATTACTTCTAAAACCACATTGTTCATTTGCTATTATGTTGTTACTTATTATATGTTCGTGCAGTCTTGCATATATATAACATTTTCATCAACTTTTGAAAAGGACGTCAGTAATGATATCGATCTGTCATATTAGTTTTATCTCCATTTTTAAACAATGGTTTTATTTTTTAATATTTCAACTGAGTAGGGAAGACACCAGTTGAAAGAGATCTGTTACAAACATAAGTTAATGGGGAGCTAATTAAAATTCTAACTGAAATTTCATCAAACCTATTAGAACTTTTGGTTTTAAAGACTTACTGTACTTAGACAAAGATCTTCTTAAACACAGTTCTCCAGAAGGTATGAAGTGCAACACACACTAGACATCACCAGGACTCATACCAGACTGTATCAGTGCCATGACAGTGGGACTTTACCTGCAACCCATCAATATCATTAAAAATCCATCTGTATAAGCACCATGGCTGAATTTAAAACAATGCAAGATGAGGAAAAGAGGTACAGTTTTCTTATACGTTTTTGCAGACATCTCACAAATCTGACATCCAGCTTCTCAGCGAAGCACAGTACATTGTGCCGCCTCATTTCAACACAAGATGTTGCCAACTTTTGGACAAAATTCCGTGAGATATTCTCTCCAGAGCGAGAAAAACTGTGGGATGGTCTGTTAATAGGACTGCAGAGATACCACTGTATTCTGGAAGGTATGTCCTGAAGCATATTTTTATATAGCAATGAAAATTAATGTTAATTCATATATTTCATACTGGTAGTCATGGGTTCAACCTGGTTTATGGTCTTACCTACACTATCAAACAAAATGAAAATTGTGAAGAAAATATCTAGGACAAAAATAATTCTAGCAATTAAAATCTTATAATCTATATTCATGTGGATACTGGAAGCACTGACACAAATCAAAACCTGATGAAATCCAAAGCACCATAAATGTCTAATTCTATGCTGGGGCTGAAACCATGTCCAGATACTTGCATGTAAACTGTACATTGTGGCCTGGTCTTCAATAGTAACTGGGTACTAGAGAGAAATTGTCAGCAGTGCCTAGTTAGTGATTTCAACCGATAATTCACTTTATATCAGGTTTGAACATTTCAGAGATTTCCTTTTAAATATATAAAGTATATATAATTTAAGTAAACCAGAAATGTTTGCATTCAAATTGTAAAGATTTTCAATTTAAAGAAGTGTAAAATAATGTTCAATAATGTTGAGCTAAAAGCCTGGACTTGAACTATAGCCAGAGATCAGAAGAGGTAAATTTTGAATATTTCATGGTAAAGCAGATATATAGATCCACATTTTCTTGACCTTGGCAGTAGTTGGAGGTGAGTAGTCAGCTTCACACCCAGGAAAAGAACTCCCGGCATCCACTGGATAGGAGGCTGGGCGGGTCCCAGAGCTGATATGGACTACATGGAGAAAATAAATTTTTTTACCCTATCGGCTCTTGAACTCTGACCCCTCAGTTGTCCAGACCATAGCCAGTTGTTATACCAACTGCACTATCCCAGCTCCTGAACATTTTACAGTATAACAATTTAATACAACTCAAGATAGTAAAACTGACAATCATACAGAAAAGCTGTAAGAAAGATGATGCGTCCATGAGACACCTCTTTCCACTTTGTAGATATGAGGAGTGAGTAATTCAATAGATTGTCTGATTAGTTCAAACTGATTATCAGTCACAATGTAAGATTTCCTCCAACCACAAACACAATATGACATTTTTTATGTACATGGTGGGTAATTTACACAAGTTCAGCGTTTTCATCATACTTATATTTACTTTATATTTCTGTTATTATGACAGGAAATACCTTGTTCTTTGCAGTTCTTATACAGTACAATTCATAATTCTTTCATGTTTAGACCGCCATAAACTGAATGTGAAGACTGAAAAACTTAGACAGCAGAATGCTGACCTGAGACGGCTTCTGCATTTCTACATCCAGAACCCTGTAAGTAAGGAAATTTGGAAATAGTCCCATGTAGGTGATTTCTTTCTATGTACATGTATTTTAAAAATTATGATAATGTAGATTTTAACATTAATTTTATTTCACACTTTACTGGCTTATTGGCTCCAATACTGAATTACTTTGGTTACTCTTCTGTCCAGCCTTGTACATATTAAATGCTACATATACAGGAACTCTGATTCTTCCAGCAATTTTCTAAAAAGTCGGCACAGATGAATTTCAGATCATCTCTAAAATACATGGACATATGTATACAAATTTTTCTTAAAGTTGTGTATTCTTTGTTAATATTATGAACTTCTCTGATCTTTAGGAAAATGAATCCATGTTCTTGTCATCATGGGAACGTCTTAAACCCATCTCAAGAAATGGTCTCCAAAGGAAGAGCAAAATTAAGTTTGCAAGAGCAACTACAAGCATTGGCAGAAAGTCTACATAGAGGCAAGAGCTATCTTGTGAATCCAATACGCTCACAGCTACATCATTTTTTGTGTAACTAACTAACATCATGGAGCAAAGCCCTTCTTGAGAAGCCGCCAATTGTGTAGCTATTCAAGACTTTTCCAACAATTTATGGAACTCCAAGGTTCATTAGTGTTCACAAGAGCCCTTCACTGGTCCCTATCCTGAGACAGATCGATCAAGTCCATATCACCCCATCTCATATCTCTAAGATCTATTTTAATATTATTCATCCACCTATGTCTTGGTCTTCCATGTGGTTTCTTTCCTCCTGGCTTTCCCACCAATATCCTATATGAGGCCTAACAATAAAGTTCGCGAACTCGCCACTGTGCTTGTTGTGGCAACAGTGAACAGAAACCTCAGTATGGTTTGATGACGTTGGCATATCAGCGTATCACAGCTATGTTGTTGATCTATGGCAGTCTCTTTCTGAGTTGTGTCTATTATTGTCTGAGTGTGTTTTGGTGTGCTGTCATGAGAATATCGAAGCCTGAATTAGAGCAATGAGAAGAAATTAAACTTCTTGTTAAACTTCGCAAAAGTGGGAGTAAACTCAGATATATGTTCCGTGAAAGTGAAGAAAACAGCAGTTAACAAGTGGATGACACATTTTTCTGAGGGAAGAGAAAGTGTCACTGACAAAGAGAGATCAGAACAGCCAGCAATGAGCAGAACTGAAGAAAATATTGCAAAAGTTTGTCAATTGTGCAAGAAAATCGTCGGCTGACTGTTGGGAGCATAGCAGAGCAAGCGAACATCAACAGGGAAACAGTTAGAAAAATCTTAACTGAAGATCCTGACATGAGGAAGGCGTGTGCAAAAATGGTCCCAACAGAGCTCACCAAAGGGCACTGTCTGTGAGGGAGTTTTTAGCTAATAAACAAATAATTGTACTGGAACACCTTCCAATTCACTGGATATAGGCCCCAGTGACTTCTTTCTGTTACCGAAGATGAAGAAAATATTGAAAGGAAGGCATTTTGATAACATTGATGACATCAGGAGTAATAAGACAGCAGCTCTGAAAACCATTCCACAGAACCAGTTCCAAAACTGTTTTGAAGGGTGGACTAGGCACTGGCATCAGCGCATATCTTCCCAAGAGGAGTACTTTGAAGGTCGTTGAAGTGGTATTCAGCAGTGAGGTACGTAGCACTTTTACCATGATGAGTTCGCGAACTTTATTGTCAGACTATGTATTCTTTCATTTCACTTCAATTCATGCTACATGCCCTGCCTTTCTCACCCTCCTTGACTTGATCATTCTAATTATACTTGCCGAAGAGTGAACATTATGAAGCTCCACATTATGCAGTTTTCTCCAACCTCCCATCACTTATCTCTCTCCAGTCCAAATATTCTCCTCAGCACCCTGTTCTCAAATATCCTGTTTATGTTCCTCCCTTAATGTCAGAGACCAAGTTTCACACCCATATAGAACCACAGGTAAAATTAATTTCTGTATATTCTAATTTTCATGTTTTTGGACAGCAGATGAGAAGACAAAAGGTTCTGGACTGAATGGTAGCAAGCATTACCTGAATTCAACCTCCTCTTAATTTCCTTCTGAATCCAGTTTTGGTTTGTTCCTGTCATTCCAAAATATCTGAACTGTGGCACATTTTCAGCTTATCTGTTAGCTGTCTTCATGTCATGATTTTGCCCTGCATAAATATAAATTTGTGCCGGTCATGGTAGCCGAGTGATTTAAGTCATGCACTGTCTTCGCTCAATCGGAAGCCGGGATTGTGGGTTGGAATTGCACTCAGGGCATAGATGTTTGGTGTTTGTGTAACAAGCTGATCACCTGCCCAAGGAGTCCTACCATATGTCTAAAATCTAGTAAACCGAAGTGAAACGGAGAGTTTCATGGAGGTAGGCCAAAGCCCAAACTGGGGCTGTAGCACCAAAGGGGGAAAATATATATATATATATGTTTGTAGCATGTACCAGTAAAAATAAAAATTACTACAATACAATTACAACTTTATTCTAGAAGATTTAATCTCACATATATGAAAATATCATCCCATATGGCATTACATATTAATTTGTAGACAAGGCTGGCACATTATTCAGCACAAGAAGGATAACAGATGGATAAGCACAACATATCAATAGACCTCTGTTTATTACAATCTGCATCTTTCATGATTATTCATTGTGAACAAGCACATACAATAACAATTCTGTGTATTTACAATTCACTTGGGGGGGGGGGGGTCCAACTGGGTCCACTAGGCACAGTGGCCACTGAGTGTATTTACAATACTAGAATTACAAAAATCAGGGTGGCATTCATTTTAAATGTCTGAGACAGTGTAATGCATTTGCCATGATTTGAAAAGTACATATGGAAATCTCAGAATAGTCAAACATTTTCAAACTGTTTCCTTTTATAACACATATCACAAATGTTCATTATTTGGCTGTTCCTAATACTCTGGAAAAGACACACACATACACACGTCATACTTAAATAGGGATTTCTGCATCAGAGTTTCAACCTCAACTGAACATCCTTACACTGTGTTTAAAGTGTGGAGCAAACACACAAAACACATTTCATGCATTAATCGTTCATATTTACAGAAAATATGAATGTACCACATCAATACTGTGATCTGCTGCATTTGTGCAAACCTCATTAGTGCCTTGCAATATCATCTGATTGAAAACCAGCTCAGACAGATAATTCACAACACAGAAGTATATAAAGGAGATTTATAACCTGTGGCAAAATACTAACATTGTTATTTGCCTCAACAGTTATTTAACCTGTGACAGAACATGATTACTATACAAAAAGATATTTGGTTCTTGTTTAGTGAACTTCAAGGCTTACAAAACTACTTTTCATTTTCCACATTTCCATGAAAGTTAATGGTTTATTATACTTTCCATGCATGGCTTCTCACTGTCCTATACCAGATGAGGGAGGTCAAGTCAAAGTCACATTACAACTGAGAGTCAGTCAGCCAGTCAGTCTTGGTGCCAAGCCCCATGTGAGGTCCAAGACAAGATTGCTATTACCGTCAGACAGTTGCAGTTTTGTGGATGTGGGGTGCCTTCTCTGACAAGAAGACAGGTCTGTCATTTACCTCAGTCAAGATCAGTAGTACATGACATCATGTACATGTCTTCTGATCTGCTTGGAGCTCAACTGACTTGGTCCTTGTTGGATACGAACTGATTGGTCTCTTGCCGAGGTTGGACTGTTCTAGCCTACACTTAGGCTGAATAGAGAACACCCTGTCGAAGGGTTAAGTTTTGCCCGCTGTTATGCAAACGACTCTCTTGTCGCAGCGGGAATACATGTTTACTGCCTCAAACAATTAGTTGCTTAGACACTGCTAGCCTCTTTGTAACGATGGAAAACCCACTGTTAGGTTCTCGTGTTGTTCAAGTGATTTCCTAGGTAGCATGCTTTCTCACTGTCCTTTGCGTAGCGATGGATGTCCTACAGTCCGGCTTTCAAGCAGCACGTCATAATATATATACTGGTTTTTACCGCCGACCCAACAAATCTACCAAATAAATCATGTTAATTGTGCATGATTAGTATACAAAGTACAAACTCAATAATTTAGGATTGTGGAATGTATCACCTGATGATGGCTTCATGGCTAGCCGAAACATGTAGCAAAGTTGTATTTTAACACAAATAAACACACGAGGCCATCACAATGTCGTCAGTATAATAAAAAATTCTTGTATTTGTTATCTTTGGATTTCCTTTATAACATCAAAGGTCGCGAACTGAACCGGTTCGCTTGAAACATGCCGTATTATTTCCTATTTCATTTGACATGCTTAGATGGTCGCCAATCCTAACATAGTTGACTGTCAGCATGCTACTGATTACGCTTTTCTCAGCCTGTCTGCAATCAGGGATAGCTTGTATTTATGTATGTATGTATATGTGTGTACAGGTGGGCAATAGCAATTCGGCCCTTGCACCGCGACCATCACTGATCTATTGTGCTCCCCATTTGATTAATCCTTTATTAATCCCACACTTCGGATGAAATGTAGGACCCTATTTATGGGGGCATCATAATAGTCACTTGGTTCCATGAAATACTGGCCCAGGTGACAAAATCTTAAATAAGCTATGGCCTCACAATCACATAGAACATGTGTGGCTCATTCAGTCTCTTCTAGACACCTTAAACAAGTGGGATTATCTGTCAATCCCAGTTTGAAAAGGTGTCCTTTAAGGTGACAATATCCTGCAAATAGTCCTATCACACATCTTAACTGGTCTCTGTTTAGCTTCAACAGATCCTTCATTCTTATGGCAGAGGGCCCTGGTATAAATCCCTTTGCCTGTTTGAGTCAAATTATGGCTTCCCAGTTTTTTTTTTTTTTTTTTTTTTTTTTTTTTTTTTTTTTTTTNTTTCTGTTCATACAGTCCCTGACCGCTTTCTTGGAAACTCCAATTGAGATGCCTCAAGCTGGTTCAGGTCCGTGAACAGATGTTCAGATCCTGTTATTGCCAGTTGATCTGCCATTTCATTATTTCATTATCCACAATACCCTCATGATCTGGCACGGACATCAGTTGAACCCTGTTATGTTTGGCCAGTTGTGTGATGGATTGGTGGCAGTCCCAGACCATTTTTGAGGTGATCTGGTGAGTGTCAAGTGCTTTAATTGCGGCTTCACTATCTGATATATAGAACTTCCTATTTTTAGTTTCTATCTAGATTCTCAACTGTGCATGCTTTAATAGCACACACTTCTGCCTGGAGTACCGCTGTGTACTGCTCAAAGCTAAAGCTAAGTTTTCGCCTTGGTCCATGACAATACAACCCACCTCGTGCTTTCTTTTTTGTCTTGGCAAGGTTACCTTAGTCTGTATAGCGGCAAGCTACAGACTGGACGGTCAAGGTTCGATTCCCGGTAAGAGCAAGAGATTTTTCTCTACTCCACCGCGTCCAGACCGGCTCTGAAGTCCCAACTCATCGTCCTATCCAAAGGGTTCCTGGGATAAAGCAGCCGAAGCGTGAAACTGACCACTCACCTCCATTTAGTACCGAGGTCAAGGATGGTGCAGCCATACCTTCACTTCCTCCATACGTCACGGCGTAGTGCTTAGTTGCTCAATTAATTATGCACAAGGACAACTTTAAACTGGTGAATTATCCAGCCATGTTGTGATTGGATCAGATAAGCGGTAAGCGGCTAGACGATACCTTTCGTAAATAATTGTAATTATTTGCGTACACCTAAGTATACGCAAAAAAATTACCCCATAACTACTTAACCTTCGTCTACAAATAACACTAAGATCACTACCCATCACTGTAGCATGTTTTCTATCTTACAGTTCGTAGTCTTCGTAAGCTTCGTATTCGTAGCGAAGCGCATCATTTATCCGCCAACGGAACTGGAGGGTTCTGTGATTGGTTCACACCTACGCGATTCGATAAGTTGCGATAGATGTATTGTGATTGGTCCCAAACTATCTAGTTCAAGTTGATTGTGTAGAGATGGCAGTTCCTCAATATCTTTCCAGCAGTGACAGCAGCACACAGTTACTTTCCTTTGCCAATAGATGACACACTAATGGCATGTCCGTATCGATAGTAGTAGTCCTTTGTACCATCTGTTGGTAAAAATTGAACTTATGCCATTCCGTTAAGTAATCATTGTTGTGTTAGAAAGATTTTTATTTTGTGTGGTTTGGTGTAAGTTATTGCTCAATTTGTTGGTAAGTGTGTTTTTGAAAACTATGAATATAACGTTCACTCTATTTTAATGTATGTAGACACTGTAATTTATGTTCAACGGCTTAATTTGCAAGTCCATGTAGCCGGTTGTAGATGGCTGGCAGTGACGAGCTTTGCGTTTACCAACAACTTTAATCAATAATCAGCACGGTATCATTACAGAAATCGCGTTATTTAGAATCCGCATATTCGACATTTTTACTAATTTTGAAACTAATTAACATATTATTTCCATGTGTTGCGTTTATGCCTGAAGTGAGATAGTTCATTCAGAAATTGTGGCATTCCGGCAAGCTACGCCCGCAACTTGTATCGTGCACACAAAATTATAAAATTTAAAATCAATACGATTCGACAGTAAAGGACTGTGGTGCGATGGACTACAGGTGCCATCCTCAAATTCATTGCCGGGGTAAAGAAGTTCGATGCATAACATCATGCCAAGAAGGCATATAGAAAAGTGGCGGTAATTTTTCACGTATTCCAGACCGCGACATTAGCTAAATGTAACTCGTCAGCTTCACACTTCAGGGGAAAGAACCCTGGATACCCATGCTGTGGTGTAAAGAAATAATTATCTTTCCCCTACCAGGAATTGATAGTTATCGCATATAATATTTGTTTATTATTTGTTAGCATAATATGTAATAATGTGCCACCAGTACATCCCTAACAACTTCATTGGTACCGTAACTAACCAACTCCATGGAGTGGAGTCTTTCCTGAGAAGCCACCAGTCGCTCAGCTACTCAATAATTTCCCAACATCATATGGAATCTGAAGGTTCATTACCATTTTCACAAGAACCCTGCACTGACACTTATCCTAAGCCAGATGAATCCAGCCCATACCATCATATCCTATTTGTCTAAGACCCATCTTAATATTATCATTCCACCTAGTCTGTATCTTCCTAGTGGACTCTTTCATTCTGGATTTCCCGCCAAAACCCTAAATACATTACACCGTTTCCGCATTCATGCTACATGCCCTGTCTATCATCCTTAACTTGGTCATTCCTATTATATTTGGATCTTTGGAGTACGTAACTCAGTGAGATTGTCGTGGTTATTTGTAGTTACTAGTGTACATGTCTAATAAATCCGATTACCATTCCACCCCACCCCCCTATAATCACTCAACCACGTGACCGTTGATGTCAGAAGTGGGATAGGATTGGATTAGAAAGGTTTGGATTGAGTGGGGAATTAGGCTAAAGACATTGGATTGTTCTATCGCCATACTATGAAGACGGAACAATGATGGCACGCCTGTCGATCAAAATGAAAGCTGAAATAAGAACCAACCGAGAAGGAATGACGGCAAGCCTGGAAACCAAGATAGGGCCCAATAATCAGAAGGCTGAGGTCTTTCTGGAAAATATGTGGATCAGTCAAAAAGAAGTGATTGACATAATGAAAGTCGAGAAAGGATGGAAGCCCTGATGGGCGTCAGTATAGGAGCGATGGAGGCCTACCTGGAGAGGAAGAAGCCAACCCCAGAGGAGACGGCAAACGCAACAGCACACCCTAAGGGCTCTAACGGAGCGACGCGCGAGAAGACGATCGGGGCAACTGAGGACCGACCTAGGGACTGCCGAAGAAACGGACCCAGAGCAATTGTGGATCCCGGCAGAAGGTGGCCGCTGCCCGCAGATGGTTGACTCTCCGTGCCGTTCCTGCACGGCGTAAGGCCCGCCATAATGAAGAGCCGACAGTCGAGGGGCGATAGAAGGGCCCGGAATGCAACAACGTCATAAGAAACCAAGGCCTTAAAGAACGACTGTGACTAGGAAACGAGAGAAATATTAACGACACTCTCGGGCAGGTTCTCGTGCTGGATATCGTGAAGCGAACAGACGCGTCTTCCATCAGGATTCGCAAAATGAGTGTCAGGACATAGTGAAGGAGTCGGACCCCACCAAAAACGGAAGAAGGGACAGAACACAGCTTAAGAGCCGGCGCGGTAGGAGCACCCGGCACCCCCGGATATTATCTCCCCGTGAATGGAAGAGATGGTAACACACGGATAGGTTGCTTAGGACAAGCAGCTTTAAGGGGGGAACAGTGTGATATATTTGCTCAAAACAAGCAGCCTTAAGGGGGGAGCAGTGTGGTATATTTGCTCAAAACAAGCATTGTGGAGCCAGAGAAACAGCCATTGCTAAGCAACAGCTGTGTAAACAGGCGACATAAAACGGCCGTTGCTAGGAAACAGCTCTGTTGACACATTTTATCGACAACGAGAGGGCACACAATAACAGAAGAAAAGTTTTCTGTGCTCTCCATACCTTCGCTATATAATGAGGACCAGCTGCTATTACGAGATATTTTCGAGACGATAGTTAAAAGAGCAGGAGGTTGGTGTGAGATAGAAACCAGCCTGCTAGGATGTGATCCTGGGAACAGAGGAATGTCCACTGTTGAGTGCTAAGAGTTGTTGTGAGAAGTGAGAATGTGATAGCTGAGCCCGGGGACAGTTGAGGAATTGAGAGAAAGCGGAACGTTCACCGTTGGAATTCGCTGCCAAGCAACGGCTAGTGATGACTCAGAAAAATGTTGTGCTGTAGATACAGTGAGACTGTCGTGGTTATTTGTGGTTACAAGTATAAGTGTCCAATAAAACTGATAACCAGTCTAACCCCCATCTATAATCAGTCCATCAAATGACCAATATGTTTATTTCACGACAATTAATTGAAGCAGCAATTTAATGAAGGTTACTGTGTTTTGGGATGTGATGCCCTGTAGTCTAATAGATATTTACCAACATTTTGGAAGAACTTGCAGCCTCCATCTTCAATACATCCATTGAAAAATTCATAAATATGTGTTAGACTACACGTTGTCACATTCCAGAAGACAGTTACCTTCATAGTCATTGCCATGAGAACCTCAGATTCATAACAGCTGTAACGACTTCCTGATGATTTTTTTCTTATGTCATTTGGATAAGGACCAAAATTTGTGTGAAGGTTGCAAGCTTTCATACCTGTTACCTGTATGTGGAAATACTTGTAATTTGGCAAGGAGACAAAGGCATTCTGAATTCCATTTTTATTTTACATGTGCATGTGATCTTTTGACGCCACTATCGTTGAAACTAAAGTGTCTGCAAGTGTATGTCATGCCCCATTAACGTGTGGTGTTTTGCTCACACAGCTGCTATATAGGTATGTATAAAATTAGCCTGGCTTAATTTTAAACCCTGTCTTAAGAGTGCATAATAATGCTGGACCGCTGAATAAACTCCAGCTGCTGTGTTGACAAATTGAAAGAAGTTGTTGGCACAGTCCCTAAATAATAACTCAGTATAAGGTTTACTGTAATACACTGCCTTCAGGCCACAGTGTAGTGCTGGAATTGAATTGCTATATTTGACGTGTCCTGGTCATTATAATGTGTATAGATGTGGATTTGAATAATTAAATTTAATGAAACAAATTGCTAACAGTGTTCATGATGAGAATTGTGCTCTAACAGTGATCATAATGTTACTTATAGTTATATGAAGAGTCATGATGCTTTTGTGAGTTTATAACCTGGTCATTGTGACATTTCTGTGTTGCTGTGTTCAGCTGTGCTGGTTTTCTGGACTGCCAGCCAGTTGCTAGTGGAATTATTCAGTCAGCTCTCAGCCATGAGTTTCTACACGGCTCCTGGTTTCCAGGCAGTAGCTGCAATGGTGGGTTACAGGTGAGTAGATTGTAATGTGATATGAATTGAATATGTAAATGGAGAGATTGGTCACTGTTTTCGTGGATCACAGTGTTGAAATACGTGTCATCTAATGTTAATACAAATAAAGTTTTAACTTAAAAACCTGTTTTTCTTATCTTGAAGATCGATATTGGATATAGAAAAAAAACGATTCCTTTATCTTCAACATTTAAACTTTTTTCATCTTACGTCTGGGGTTTTCATAATGCAGAAAATTTAGATTACTTTCTTCTGATTTATGACACCTTGTAGTCTCACGGGCATTTACCAATTTTTCACAGGAAGTTGCCACCTCCATCTTCAGTTTAGAAATTGGGGATGACAGTGCAGGCAGCAGATCCAAAGATTGGACAGTAACAAAGAAAACCATTATCTAAATTTCTTTAGCTGTCCTTTTTCAATGAACTTGTACCTTTCACCTCCTGCGCAAATTTATATTATTAATTTTATTTGAAGATTATGTTGGCCAAGTACCTGACAGTTCAGGGCTTCTGAAAGTTAAAAGTAAAAGAGGCATTGTTCTTTTATGAGAGCAAAGTACTACATTTAATTCATTTTGCCATTTGTGATCAAAAAGGTAAAGCTATCACTGTAACAGGCCATGGGGTTGTTAGACATTGAGGCACTCACATTTTCTAGACAGTTGGTCCACATGTGGCAGTGAGGTTGTCAGACTTACACGCCAGCTGCCCCTTACCCCCATAAAGATTCCTGGTACTCATTTCTGTTAGAGGCTTGAGTCAGCTTAGGGCTGAAAGCATTAGATCAATTGAAGAATCCATTGAATACATTGAGAATCAAACCCTGGGACATTCAAACTTGTAGCATAGTGCCTCAACCAGATATGCTACTGCATACCTCCGCCATTTGTGATATCAGTATGATTATTATTGTTCGGTTGTGGTGTTGACTGAGGGAACAGTGCATTCTTTTGGTTTATAAATGCTCGTCTTAACTAATTTTCTCCTGTTTTTGGTTTGTTCCACTGTGAATGGAAACTGTCGATTCTGAACTTCTTTTACTTTTAGAGTACTAATTAGGCTGAAGTAAGGCCTGAACTGCTACAACCTTCAGACTTTCAACTGTACTTCATGCACTACAGTTTATGATTGCATGTCAGTGCTTCAGGAAAAGCAGATGCCAGTAATGAGATATGTCAAAGGAAAGAATGTATATTTTTGAAGTTCATCAACAAAAAACATCACCTGTGTACGAGTTATTAAAGAAATTTAGGAACTAATGTGAGAATAAATAATTTATCCTTATTCCTACATCCCTTATTCACAAATCTGTAGTACTTTTTCTGTTTTATAGAAAATAGATGGTTATGTTGTTCACCAGTGTGTACCACTAAGGAAGAGAGCACTGGATACATGCATAAATCAAAAGTTAATTTTTGCATGAACTTCTGTTTGGTATAAGTTGTGTAAGACACTCCTTAACGTTTTTAAACATTTGGACATGAACCTAGGGTGTGTGAAGAAAATTTAAAAGCTGCTTCAGTGTTGTCATTTATTTAAAATTTGTGTCTCATTTATATCCTTTCTACAATTACCTGATGTAGCATGATTTAACAAATATCATTGCACAAGTACCAGAATAGTACTTTTGAAAGTTACTTCTGTGAGTTTTCATTTTGCATCAGAATGAATATGTGATTTTTTTTATCATTTCATAATAAGTTAATTAGGAACGTTCACTAATACTATTCTGCGGTTTATTTGGTCGTCAACACAACAAATTTAGAAACAAACCAGTTCAGTATCACTGTACTATCATTGGTTTTATTTAGCGACTGCTACATGTTTCAATAGCCAGTCACATTAGCTGTACAGTATAAGGCATGAACTGTCTTCGCTCACCTGGACGCTGGTATCGTGGTTTCGAATCCCACTTAAGGCATGGACNATTTCAATCGCCAGTCACATTAGCTGTACAGTATAAGGCATGGACGTTTGGTGTGTGTATGCATTTATTCTGTGTTTGTGTTGTCGTGTGATTAGCTAGAGGCCTTGCGATGAGCTGATCACTCGTCCAAGGAGTCCTACCATCTGTGAAAAATGATTACGGAACTAAATAAGATGCCAGGACCCTGAATGAACTGGAAGAGCCATTGAAGAAAAAAATGTTACGATCCATGTTTGGTTCAACATCGAGCAAGTTTCTTGAATACATGCTTGTTAGTGAATTGTCCTAATATGGATCCATATTAGTATTATTTTAAAAATCCTTTCATTTCTATATCTTGTTATAATGTATGATGGTATTTTGGTTTTATAGTTAATCCTTAGGGCTAAACTGTTTAAATTAGTGTTTATGTCTTGTAAGATTTGAGGCTTTCACGGCGGTGACTATGAAGAAAGCAGTCTTCTGGGATTTGGCACCGTGTATGTGTGGTGTTAACCGACGTTTCGGAGGAACGTATCGCCTCCATCTTCAGGGTAGAAGAAAAAATATAAGAAATCTGCACTGTAAAAGCAGACTGTGCACAGTCTGCTTTTACCGGTTCTCACGGTCTCTCTGCTTGCAGATTTCTTATATTTTTTCTTCTACCCTGAAGATGGAGGCGATACGTTCCTCCGAAACGTCGGTTAACACCACATATACACGGTGCCAAATCCCAGAAGACTGCTTTCTGTTTATGTCTTGTTGATACAGTGTGGGTTTACATGATACTTGTCATCTAATAGAGGGCGGTAGTGTTTTCTGGGATTCATTGTTAATGTTTTGTATGTTTTGAGTGATTACTCATGTACAGTTGTTGCTAATTGTATATTTATTTCTTTATGATATTCTTATGTAGCATCACGATGAAGTTATTTTCTCTTTGGAGTGTATGTTTGCGTTCTTTTGTATGGATGTTTTCTTCCTGCTATTGAATGTTGTTCCTGTTTGTGGTTCTGTGTGGACTCTCCACACAGAACCGCAGTATTGTGATGAAGTTATTTTCGTTTTGGAGTTTGAGTTTGAGTGCTTCTTTTGTATGGGTGTTTTCTTCCCACACAAATGCAGAACAGGAACAACATTCAGTGGTAGAAAACATGCATACAAAAGAAGCACACAAGCACACATTCCAAAGAGAAAATAACTTCATCATGATGCTACATAAGAAATTCATATACAATTAGCAGCAACTGTACATGAGTAATCACTCATAACATACAAAAGATTAACAGTGAATCCCAGAAAACACTATCACCTCTAATATACAACAAACATCACTGAAACCCACTTACTTATGTACTTACTTACTCATGGAGCTGAGCCCTTCTTGAGAAGCCGCCAATTCTGCAGCCACTCAAGAATTTCCCAACATTTTATGGAACCCGAAGGTTCATTACCATGTTCACAAGAGCCCTCCACTGGTCCCTATCCTGAGCAAGATCAATCCAATCCATACCATTTCATCCTGTCTCTCTAAGATCAATTTTAATATTGTCCACCCACCTACGCCTTGGTCTTTCCAGTGGTATCTTTTCTTCTGGCTTTCCCACCAATATCCTATACGCATTCGTCTCCCCCATTCGTGCTTCATGCCCTGCCCACCTCATCCTCATTGACTTGAGCATTCTAATTATACTTGGAGAAGAGTACAAGTTATGAAACTCCTCATTATGCAGTTTTCTCCAACCTCCTGTCACTTCATCTCTCTTCGGTCCAAATATTCTCCTCAACACCCTGCTCTCAAACACCCTCAGTCTATGTTCCTCCCTTAATGTCAGAGACCAAGTTTCACACCCATACAGAACCACAGGCAAAATTATATTTTTCTATATTCTAATTTTTATGTTTTTGGGCAGCAGATGAGAAGACAAACGGTTCTGGACTGAATGGTAGCAAGCATTACCCGAGTTCAATTTCCTCTTAATTTCCTCCTGAATCTGGTTTCAATCTGTAATCGTTGTTCCCAAATATCTGAACTGTGCCACATTTTCAAAACATCTGTTTCCTATCTTTATGTCATGATTTTGCCATGCATTTTGGTGACGAGACGACGACATATACGTAGTTTTCTCTGTGTTTATTTCTAGACCAACCTCCTTACTTGCAACAATTAAAGTTTGTGTGTTTTTCTTTATGGTATCTATATTCACATCATCGGCATAGACCGACAGCTGATGTGTCTCATAATTTGAGCCCCATCTGGTTTTCCTGGACCTTCCTAATGGCATATCCTAAAGCGAAGTTGACAAGGAGTGGCGATAAAGCATCTCCATGTCTTAGACCATTCTGGATAGGAAATTTATCAGATAAATGTTTACCTGTACGGACTTTACTATAAGTTTTGTTTAAACACATTTTAATCAGCTTAACTAGTTTCATGGGTATCCCACACTCTTATCAGAATATTGTACAATACTTCCCCCTAACTGAATTATAGGCGTTCTTGAAGTCTACAAATAGCTGATGTACTGTCTCATTGTACTCCAATTTTTTCTCCAGTATCTTACCAATGCAATAGATCTGATCTGTAGCTGATATGTTACGTCAAAACCCACACAGATGATCCCCAATAATTTCTTCTATGTATTGACTTAACCTTGAGAAAAGAATATTGGATAAAATTTTGTATGAAGTTGATAGCAGTGATATCCCCCGGTAATTACTACAGTCAGTTTTGTCACCCTTCTTGTGAACTGGTACAGTAATGGACTCCTTCCACTGATCAGGCGGTTTTTCCTTATGCCAAATAGAAATAATTGGTTTATGGATCTTACAACATAATATTTCGCCTCCTGCTTGATCAAGTTCTCCTGGAATTTGATCACTACCTGGCAATTTATACCTTTTCAATTTTGCAATAGCACTTTTAACGTCGAAAGGGCTATTATGATCAGGTACTAACTGATCATCTGTATGTATTTCTATCTGCCTAACATCACTGACCCTACGTGCATTCAATAACTGAGAGAAGTAGTTCTTCCACCTATTCAAAATGTTGTGGGAATCTGCAAGCAGATCACCATTCTCATCCTTCACTAAGTTACTTTGAGGTTGGTAACCCCTCTTAAAGTCATTTATTCTTCTGTACAGGTCTCTAATGTTCTTGTTCTTACTGTTCATTGCAAGCTCATCAATTTTGTCTTTCATATGTTCCCTCTTTTTATTCCTGAAATGCCTGCTGGTTTCACGTCTTATATTGTTTAGATTATCCCCATTTAACTCGCTTGGATCCTGTAACCATTGCAATTTGGCTTGTTTTCTTTGGTCTAATACTTTTGAGCATCCTTCTTCTAGCCATGGCTTATGCTTCTTCAGTTTATAATAACCTAGAATATCATTAGCAGAAATATTGGTAGTCTCTCTAATAGTTTCCCAAGCTTTATTAACATCCACCTCAGTGTTCAAGTTTTCCAAAGCCACGAACCTCTTTGAAATTTCAGCACGATACTGCTCTTTACCCTCTACCTCATTTAATTTCTTGAGGTTGAACCTCTCCACATGAACTCTGTGCATTGTTTGTTTGCTCACTGCCAGCCTTTCCCTAACCTTTGCCACCACCAGCTAGTGGTCAGTATCACAATCTGGTATTGACGAGGCATAAACACTAATTTAAAAAAAAATTAGCCCTAAGGATCGACTGTAATATCAAAAATGCTAACAAACTTTATGACAATATAGAAATTAACGGATTTTTAAAATAATACTAATATGGATCCATATTAGGACAATTCAATAACGAGCACTTATTTAAGAAACTGCCTGTTGATTGAAACTTTGCAAATGCAAAATAAAACCAGCTTTAGGACAATTATATTGAATTGGTTTGTTTGAAAATGTGTTGTGTTGACAGCCAAATAAACCACATTGTGACACACAGCAGGATGCACACAATAAAAGTACTATTATTCTGTTGAGCCCTTGAATTAATTGATATGAGCACAGTGTCAAGTAGTTACAGCATATATATTTTAGGAGTTATGTGTTAGATCCCTTATATACAAGCTTTCTTACAAGCATGTTCTTTTACAGTTTTACATTTTTTACAGAAATATAACAACTTCACTTAAAATATGGAAGAAATATAGAATTGAAAAAAATAAGTTCCATAAGAGAAGTTGATTGATTTTGTAGCTAGGGGTGGATTTTTTTTTTTTTATTTTGCTATGTAGGGGGTGCAGTCCAGCTGGGTCCACTTTCACAGCGGCCACTGATCGGCATATTGTAGCCTGTCTCAGGTGATTATAATGATGGAGAATTTGGTGAAATTAAATTGGCAGGGGAAACCGAAATACTCGGAAAAAACCTGCCCCATCTCCACTTTGTCCACCACACATCACACTTGACCAGACCCAGGATCGAACCCAGGCCACTGCGGTGGGAAGCCAGCGACTAACCGCTTGAGCTATGGCGCAGCCTTAGCTAGGGATGGAAAGTGGGATCCATAAGAAGTAAGGGGAATAAGGCACACTGGGTAAATGCATAAAATATATTGTGTTTTTATAATTGTAATTGTAATTAAACATCAGAAACATGATAAATGATACAAACTCCGTCCTAAGTGCAAACAATATATATTATATGTCTTTGATCTTGTTCTTTCTACACTACATGTTTCGGCCTCTATCGGCCATCATCAGGTGTATACTCTTAACGTATACACCTGATGATGGCCAATAGAGGCCGAAACATGTAGTGTAGAAAGAACAAGATCAAAGACATATAATATATATTGTTTGCACTTAGGACGGAGTTTGTATCATTTATCGTGTAGAGTGCAACAGGATGCTTAAATATAATATTGTAATCAGAAACATAGTCAGGAATGCAAATATTTGTTTAATATTCCAGACACTAGCTAGGAATTGCAGTCATTTTATATTAATATATGAATACTCCTTTTTAAACTTTATTTAGAGAAGAGGATAGCCTTTTGGGTTGTATAGCTTGGTAGATATCCACTGATGTCTCAGAGGAATTCCTCACCTTCATCTTCAGTGTTGAAGATTAAGAAACCAAGAACCAGACAGGAAGCAGAGCGGATGGAGACAAAATGTTGCTCCAAAATGGCTTTGGAGTTGTGCCAAATTACATGACATTGCAACCCAGAAGATTATGCTTGTCGTAGTCAATGTTGTGAGAACTTCAAATCCAACAATATTCAGAGAACATTTTAGTGACTGGAATGAGATTTATTTCCTGGACATATAAAGCAAGCAGATAGTATTGTATCTACGAACCAATTAGGAGTTAAAGAATGAAGTTTAAATAATTTTAGATTTCCTCTCTTAACATATAGTATTGCATAAGATGTGTAGTGAATATTTGAAGTTCTCTCAGTAGTGACTATGAAGATTATTGTCCTCTGGAATATGATGCCATGTAGTGTGGTAGTGTTACCAGCATTTAGAGGAACCCATTGCCTCCATCTGGCAGCTTGATCCTCTGGAACACTGGTAACAATCTATTGGACTATATGGTGTCACAATCCCAGAGGTAGCAATCTTCGTGTTACGAGGATTTTGGTCCGTTCATATTTAGAATTCACATAAAATTTGACCCCAGATTATTCCTTTTTGAATCATACTGATCTCTATTAATTCCTTTTCGTGCTTGAAGAATAAATAACGCTTGTAGAAATCTTATTTTAAAATTTTGTTGTAACAAACAAATTGATAAAATTTGAAAGAAGGCGATGTTTTCATGTCTTATGCATTTTTGTTTATATTAAACAGCTTTTTTCTGAATACACTGGTGGAGATAATGTGACATTTTATAGTTGAATCGCTTGTTGCCAGAAAGAATTGCAGGCTTTTGACAGTGGCATTCAGGATGTCATATAACCAACTCTTATTTTAAGGAAATTTGTTTGAATGCTGGCACCATGATAAGTCTGCTTCATGAGGTGGTAATTATAAGGCATGCTGATGGCTGATGTCTTCACAGACTAGTTAATTGCTTGCTGACATTGCACTGATGCAGGGAGTCATGCATATATTGTCTGTGGGTGAAATCATTAGCAAATAATTCACTTCTGATGACAGTACCAGAGGCATGCTAACTTTAATCATGTTGCTATCCACAGTAGGCCAAAGATCTGAATAAATGGCAATTCATGTACAATGTACATCATATTTGTTTCTACACATCATTCTGTTATTGCAGTGAAGTAAAAGTGTTATAACTTTTCTGTAATATATTTCAATCTGTGGAGCATGTACTGAAATATGCAGTTTGGCCATTGTATAAAGTGATATCCCAGGTCATTCTAATTTAGACTATACTATCATTTTATCAGTACATATTATTAAGTACTGTAAATATCAGATTTCATCAGAACCTATTTACCCACTGTAGAGTCATTTCTTATTCATACACAGATACACTGAGGAAGATCTGAGTATGCATAGATTTACAAAATGTGATGGAAAATGGTCTCTTCATATTGTCAGTAAGTGAATGGTGTTGACCCTTGGTGTACAGATTAGTGTAAATGATAAGATGTTGAAATTTATATAAATTAAATCCTTATCTTTTGTCTGTGCTAAAATGTTTAAGGATTTTGTAATTAAAGGATTAATTTGTGTTAATTGTGCCATCTGCTGAACTTTCTTACATGAGAGTAATGCAGGCCTGAAGACTGAAATATGAACTTCTGAAAGCTACTTGGTCTAATGTATACAATAAAGCGTATCCCTAAGTGTGGGTTTACTCAGCATGACCAAACTTTGGTTTTAGGTGGGTCGTTTACCCCAAGACCCCACTGGGTGGGTTAAACCACAATCCAAGTTTGCAGACACCTGACCTGCCTCACATCTGTGCCAGAGAAGTTGCCGCACTTACATGGTGATATAATTCAGCATGATCTAACATAAGTTATAGGCAGGCCATTTATGCTAAGCACAGGCGGGATCAGAAATTTTTATACTTTATAGTTGAATATAGTCCCATCTCTGCATATCACAGCATTGTAAGCAGATGCTGTCTGAACAAGGGAATTCAGATTCATTTGTGGGGAATACTAATGCCTTCAAACTAGAGAAAAAATCTAATCCCATTGGAAGAAAATCTGGTTACACAAAGACTGAGTCTGCTACTGTAGCATTTCCCTTTATTTTCCATCTTTGTACATTGTTACTTCAATTGAGACTGCACACAGATGTCAGTACTCTGGAATGTAAACTGGATTACTCATAGAAGATACTGAAACTAGCACCTCTTGTGCAGCCTGTCTATTTTAAATTACAAAATTACCTTTTGTGCTATCTTTGTCGTGCATTGATCAGTGTGAGTGTGATGATGCCACAAGTTATGAGCACTGTCAGCTGCTGTAGTCTTGAATGTATTGCTATTATATAATATTAAAAAAGGCACAAATTTCACATTCTATTTAAGTGAGTATTCTTCTTTATTGAATGGGAAAATTTAATTTTGAAATAATTGTGTAACATCTATAACTGATTGGGCTAAGAATCTGATATAAATATTTAATGGCATTATGGATTTGAGGTTGTCACATGGGTGACTGTGAAGATTGCTGTCTTCTGGGATGTGACAGTGTGTGGTCCAGTAGACATTCAGTGATATTTCAGAGGAACATCAGTGAACCAACTGGACTACATGGTGTTTTGCCCAGAACATAGTACTTTTCATTTAACACCATGTACCTAAATGGAAAGAGGCTGCAAGGATGAAAGGTTAAAATCAATATGGAAGTCATTTTGACAAGTAGAAGTATCTTTGTCTGTGATTGAAAATTTCTTGCAGATATCATTTATGCATAGTTAAATTGGACAGATTGCTTCTTTTTACATGCATGAAAATATGTTGATATTTGCTGTAATATGTTCTGGTTGACAGGTTATTACAACTTGTTTGAAAATATCTTTTTCCATATTATGAATGTGGAGGTTTAATAGAAAATTTCAAAACTTGATATTTTACTCATGTGTGAGATACTGAATTTGCCTTACATGGGGCTATTTCTGGATGTCTACAGTCATCATCTTCCCTGTCTTAGGTTCACACATTTACCCAAATTTATGGGATGTGTAAAAGTATTTTTTCTTACACCTTCAGTTATTAGAACAAAAGATTTGTTAAAGAATGTAATTGATATTAACTGTGTATCACATTAAAATATGTTGTTGTTTATTATTTTTGTCATGACTTTCCCTCCCCTCTTCCCAAATGAAATACTTGATTGTCAAATTAATTTCCCTGTAGTATATAACATATGGAAAACAGGGAAGTGAAACTGTTGCAATGTACCAGGGATCATGTGCTTTTCATGTGACATCCACTACAGATATTCAGTATTTTTATTTGTGATGAGCATTGTATGTTTTGATGCTTATTCTCTGACATTGTCCTGCAAATTAGCATAAAGTGAAATGCACGTCTCACAAATTATAACATATTATCCGGGAATAATTTTGATTTGGTGACATTTTATGGCGTAGAATTTCTTGATTAGGCCTGCAGTTAGTTTCTCAAGAAGGATAGTTCTCGGTGGAGTTTGTAACACAGGTATCATGTATGGTACCAAAAATCATCTGAATATCTTATTTTAAAACATTGTATGTTAACAGCAGTGGGCCTTAGAGACTTGAGGTTTACGTGGTGAATTAACTACCAATATGAAATCTTTTTAACTTCTTATACCAGAAGTAAAGTAAGTAAGTAAAAAGTAAAGCTATCCCTGTAACAGGCCATGAAGGCCCATAGGGTTGTGAGACGTTGAGGGTCCCACATTATCTTGACAGTCGGCTCAAAGATGGCGGTAAGGTTGTCAGCCTTATGCGCCGGCCACGCTTTACGCCCCAGGAAAAGTATTTATTTAATTCCTGATACTCATTTCTATTAGAGGCTGAGTGAACCCCAGGGCCATAGTGCAGCCGGAAGGATTAGGTCAAGTGAAAAAAATCCAATGACCTCATCGGTATTTGAACCCACGACCTTCTGACTTGTAGCATAGCGCCTTATACTAGAAAACATTTCAAAAATTTAAGTTGAACATGATTTTCAAGTTGGAAGTGCTTAAAAGTGGAGGCAGTAAGTTCTTTTGAAATGTCAGGAAGTTCTCTCAAAACAAGATGACAATTTAAACAAAAATTCACTACAGAACTGACTGACTTCTGGTTTGCTCCCAACGTTTGAGAATTCCAAAAGCTTTATACAGATCTTCATATTGTGATCTTCTGGGTTATGACATCCTGTAGTTTGGTAGAGGTGGGTACCAACATTACACAGGAACATATGGTCTCCATATTCAGGTAGTATGTCCCTCCAAAATATTGGTACCCAACTACCAAGCTGAATGGTGTCATAACTCAGAAAACCATAATATGAATTTTCAACCCCATGAAATCCTCAAATCTTGGTATTTGTGCAGACTTTGCGTTCATTTGGTATGATACTGAATTTAAGTTATTTTTTACTGCATACTTATGATATCATATGGAATTTGGCATAGTCATGGGTTTTTCTGAAGTTCCATGTAGCATGTTTTGAACAAAGTACTGTTAGGAATAAAATCAGCAGAATTTTTATCAAAGAGCAGAACACTTCAAAAGTTGTGGAAACAGCACTGGATAATCTTGATATTATCTGTAAAATATTTTACATTTGACATAATTATTAGGAGGAGTCATATACTGTGATTTATAGCCACTCCTGTGATATTCTAGTTGTAACTTTTTGCATGATATGGTTTTTGTACTTATAGGAATTTAGACCATCCATTAAATTATTAAATATGACAGCATAGGATCACTTCCCTTGCAGTCCTGATTTTGTTTTTGCCATTCACAGCCCACATCTGCTTCTGTTGAACAAACATAGATCTCACTGTATGTACAGGAGAAAACACAGTTATCTCTGAATATTATTGGCTATTGCAACAGGTTTACCATAGTCGGTCAGAGCAAACTCTAGCACTGTTTCTTAAAACAGACCAAACCATTTCCTTCTGTGCCCTTCCCAACACTAACATGTGCAGTTGGCAAGGAGTTGTTAAGGAAATCGTTTTATGAAAGAGAACTGGTAACATAGTAAAACTCTGAGAATTGCCTTGTGCTGCAGAAGACTAACTGTGTATAGGAATGGATGTGTTATGTTCTCAATCACTGTGATTCTTCTGTGAATACTGCTGAAAAATGAATTTAAATCATGAATTATAGAGGCAATGCAGCAACTGTGATTGGCGCTTGTATTTGGTAGGTATTATCGTGGGCTCACCTTTCAGCAGTGCTTCTGTCCTAGAATGAAAATTTCCAGTTAAAGGAGGTGCTAGAATTATTTTCTTTCTAGGTTTGGCAAAAAAGTAAACCAGTAAACTGAAGTTCACATTGGGAGACATGCCACTAAATTTATCATATATTTTTTATCATCACAATTCAGCACATTCAGTTACATTAGTCAAATTAACCTGACATATTTTCAGATTATTACAGTTCATCTTCAGGAGCCACCCACATCAGATCATAAGTTGATACAGCTTGCGTAATATTGCAGTCATGTAGCAGAACCAGTGTGTGGTATTTGTAGAATAATTACATGGCTTTTAAATTAATTAAAAAAAAATTTAACTAAGGTGTTCATTTTATGATGACATGTAAACTGGTTTTGGCATATGATTATAATATTGTACTAACTATAATAGATTATCTGATGTGGATGGCTTCGGAGGGTAAACTGTAATAATTTGAAATGTGTCAGGATAATCTGATGAGTGTGAGTAACTGGATATGTTCTCTTGGTGATACAGTAATATTGAAACAATCCGTTACATCAGCTGCCTCCAGTCTTTCATTCTGTGCAACATATTATTAGTTTTTGTGTTTTAAAAGTTGTGATAGTCTGTCATAATTTTGTTTACTTCCAGAAAAGAAATTATAGATATAATGAGGATGTATGTAAAGTCTGAAGTTTTTGCAATGGCTGAATCCAGTGCAACTTTCTTAGGCAATCAGCCATACAGTCTCTCTGCCTCCATTATTATGGCCTGATGTGATGAGTGACATAAATGGATTGAAACTGTCATGAGTTAGTGACTATGCACGGCGTTCAGATTGATTGTTGCATTTCTGATGCCCCCCTTCTGGCTTTCAGGTGTCTTGTCACCCCCCCCCCCCAATCCTCCTCCGTTGGAGTCCAAACCTCATTATCCAAGTACTGGCTAATGGAATAGGAATAGTGAAGGATCAGGAAGTTACCCATCCCACAGTAGACCATGCTTAGTGTTGCCTAAGCTGGCCATGTCATTCATAGTTATTCACCTCCCTTGAGTCGACAGCACTGAATGTTCCTTTATTATGGGTTCCATGTTTCAACAGTCTACATCCACTCCACATTCAGGTTGTTTTGATAGCCTCCCTGTGATTCCATATCCTCTTGGTTTGTGATAAAAAACAAGTTTCAGGAGCCTATTATTGTTCATTTTGTTAAAGCGGCTTAACCATTTTTGTTTATAATTGTTCTTCAGTTTGCCTGATAAGTATTGTGTTCCATAATATATATCATAATTTTAAATGTAGGTCAATTTGGCACATTCTTGACACTTCTCAAGAAGTGATTTCTATTGCATGAAATTCTTTGACGTTTTGTTCTCCGTAACTCAGGTTTCAGTTCTGTATAAAAGTGTGGGAATGCCACAACAAAATTTCAACGTCTTTTCCTTCCTTCTCTGTTCACATTATTGTTTCACATATTCCTTGAAATCAGTGGTAAAAGAAAGAACATGAGATTTGAAATTTTTATGACAGTAAACATTCATGTTATGATATACTGAATTATGTGACACCATGCACTTTGGTAAGTGGTTATCATGGTTTCAGAGGAACATATTGCCTCCCTCATCAGAATAGATATGGAGGGAGATGTTCCTCCAGAATGTTGGTGACCACCTACCAGGCCACTTCTGTGATCCAAGTGAGCACAGTATGAAGGAATGAGCAACTTGTGTGTCATTAATCTGGCAGGCACTCTTTTCTTTCTCACTTATTGTACGTTGTTAATGTACTCATCTTAATCTTTCATAACTGTATTACCTGGCTCATGGGCAGGAAACCTTGCATGTTGAGTAAAACTTATCTTCTTATGGAATTGTAAGTGTTCAGCTGTTACAGTTGGCATGAATGGAACTTGTGATGCTGGAATGTTGCAGCCCTGCTCTGACAAGCACAGTGCCTCTCAGTCAGCCTCTTGTGGCACCACTGCCCCTGACTACAGTGACAGGTCCTGCCCCAGCACCCACACCTGGTCCACCAACAAAGCCAACTGATGTACTTCCGGCAGCGAACTTCCACAATAGTGACCCAGTTACCAAAGCAGTCATGGATAATATTATGGGAAAGCTACCTACAAAGAAGCAGGCTGTAAGTGTTGCATGACAGGTTGTCAGTGTATTGTAGAACTATAGGTCGAGCAGTGTGCAATTTGCAGTTTGAGGCATGTACCCTCTTCTATATTCATTTTAAAAAAATTATGTTTTGAAAATGGGAAGTCTGCAAGATTGCAGATATTCACGCTTACCACATAGCTTACTAACATTCAGCAAAGAGAGTTTCTTAACCCATAATGGCCATCACTCTATTTATTTTAAAGGGTGGTACATACTTCTGTATGAAATAAGGTATAATATGTGATTATAAAATTGATAAAACCCATTGTTAATATTTATACACTGGAGTGGTATTTTTTTCTATATGTGCTAGCTGAGGTATGTTTATTTTGAAAAAAGCTAAAAGTAGACTTATATGATTTCCATGCTGTGTACCCCCCTCCATTCAACTTTTGAATGGCTGAACCTATCTTTATGAAACTTGATATATGTATATCATAGCACGTGAGCCAATCTCAGTGGCTCACTTCATTGACCCCTCCCATCAGTCTATGTTTCTACATGTTTATCCTCCTATTGTTGCTAGGCAATATCTCAGGAAAAGTGTTACTGCGGCAATGAATATACATGCAGCAATAGAAGAATTGTTAGATGTGTCGTTTTCTGTGCAACCCCTGTCATATCAAAGGAAAGTAGGTGATTAATTCTTCCTTTTCTTCCACTTTTTAATTATCTAAGAAATCTGTATTTTATACCTCTCTTATGACAAGCTTTATTTCATACTTTTAACCCTTCATTGCCTCCATGCAGGATGTGTCAATGAACATTTGGAATTTTTATTTGAATTTGAATTACACAGGAGTGAAACATATTTCCTGCCACCATTGACAGTTTTTCCCTTCTAATGCCAGGAAGTTGCTGGGTGTAGCAGTTCAGAATACCAGGCATGTCAATTTGGATTCATCTATTGGTGCTGTCACTTCAAACATTTTATTTTAACATCAGTTTAATTAGTCTTGGCAGTTTGTATGTGTATTTTTGTTACAAGTGTTAATAATAGCTAGAGATACATTTGTGCCATGGTAGGAAGTTATTTTTGAAGTAGCTGCAGAAAGCATATTTCATCAAGGTAATGCTGGTCGCAGGCAGTAATGATTAGCTTGTACTGTCAGAGTGCTTGATTCATAGCTTTATACCTGCTTACTGCTTTCAATTCATTTTAGTAAGAATTTGTGTGATGGGCTGGTCACAGGCAGGTATGGATATTATGAAGAACATCAGACATTTGATATAAAGAAAGCAGTCTTGTGGGATGCGGCGCCGTGTAGATATTGTATTGACCGACGCACAGTTACATGGCGTCACGTCCCACAAGACTACTTTCTTCATAGTCACCGCCGTGAAAACCTCAAATCTTACACAGTTTTGATATAATTCTGTGAGGATCATGTAGATCAAAATAAACAGAAGGTTGTAATAATAATTGTTTTTAATATGGGTAACATCAAGGTCCCAGAAAGCTGACATTAAACTGTAAGTCCCAAATTATAAGGGGGGAGATGTGGTAGCATAGCTGGTTGAAGCACTATGCTACAGGCTAGAAGGTCATGGGTTCGATTTCCAATGAGGCCATTGCATTTTTCAATTGACCTAATCCTTCTAGCTGCACTATGGCCCTGGGGTCAGCTCATCCTCTAACAGAAATAAGTTCCAGGAATCGTCATGGGGATGAAGGGCGGCCGGCGTGTGAGGCTGTGATCTGTTGCATTATGGTACCATATAACCTGGTAGGTGATTACATATTTTTCAGAGTAATGTATGCCTCTGCCTACAGCTACCACATTCTTCCAAAATGCTAGAAACAGACTGAAAAGCCATGTTCATAATGCCAATTTAATTTTAAATATATTGGAGTATTTGCTACATGCCACAACCTATTGGGAGTCTTTTACTGTACATATTGGGTGCTGATGGAGAAGAAGGTTGTAAAATAAGCGACAGACAAGAATTGTCAGCAGTTACAAATGTGGGAGCTGGGTTTGTTTTTTGTTACCTACTGAGTCAGTCTTGGTACATATCCAGCAGCAGCAGTGCTAATGAGCCTCACAAGGAATGCAGCTGCTAGTAAAATTGACATTGTACTGTAGCCCCTTGCATTCCATAGCAAAACGCTGACTCATACATATGAACATTTGGCACAAGTAGCCATCACTGTATCAGAATGATTTCTGCCAGGATCAGCTGACATGTTCAAGGATTTTCACAATTTCCTGAGTCCTGGGATAGTAGTGTGTTTCAACTTTAAATAACTACTTCAGGTGACATGAGTACAGTGACTCATAACTCATATTGAACAAACTTGCCTTCTTCCTCATTTTACCCAACCCATTATTCATTATCGTCCTAGTGCATTTTGGAGTTACATAACTGCTGCAGTTGATACAGCATCATTCAGTAACCTAGGGATCATAGTTCCATACTCTTTGAAAATTAGAAAACAAAGATGGTTAATGTTGCATTTCCTCCCAGCAAAATGAACGTAGTGATAATATTAATTTGAGTTATTTCTATAGAGAATTTCAGTCAGTCAAATCACTGAAAGTTGGCTCTTTTTTTAGGGCATTCAACAATCTACAATTCATGAGTTGGTTAATAAATATGATGCTGTGTGTGTGTGTGTGTGCACGCGCACGTGCGTGTGCATGGGTGCATGCAGAAACCATCACCAGTAAATTCGTGCTTTTGTCACACTCAGGTTTATGACAGACAATATAATATTACTGTCATAAACAGATAAGCCAGATTTTATTTTGGCATGAATCTTGAAACTTTCAAGCATTCTTTTTTCTGGGATGCAACACTGTGTAGCCTGTTGGAAGTCAATGTTTCTTGCTTGGCTTTTTCTTTGACCCTTACAATGGAGGTGACATGTTCCTCCAAAACACTGGTTGACTTCTGGCAGAGTACATGGCCTTATATTACAGGTCAAACTGTTCCTAACCACCACTGTGAGAACCTCAAATCCAACCTTAAAACTTTCAATTTGATTTTGCTAACCATACCCCTAATGCTCATTTAATTAAGCACCATCCCAAGAATATGTTGGGTGGGGGGGGGGAGTGGAAGTATAGTTCCAAGCATTTTATACCTCAACACTAGGTAGAGGTGAGTGGTCAGCTTCATGAACCTGCCAATTTACACCCAGGGAAACAGCTACCAGTATCCAGTGTATAGGATGCTGGGTGGGTCCCAGACCAGAATCAGCCTGGACTCTGGAGGAGATGAGAACTTCTGCTTGCCACCTGCTTTCATACTGGTTTCTTGCTTAGCTATTCTTCGACCTTGAAGGTGGAGGTAACATGTTCCTCCAAAACACCGGTTGACTTTTATGGACTACACATCGTTATATCCTGAAAGATAGAGCTCTTCATAACCATTGCTGTGAGAACCTCAAATCTTGATTATGAAAATGTTGGGCTTTGTATGTCAGAGTGGAGTAAGATTTACAGAAGTGAAAATTAAACAATTATGCATTTCTGCTGTGGAATTACTGTGTTTTGGCCTACACTTTATAGGGTTTGGAATTATTTTGTTGATTTGAATAATTTATACTGCAAAAAAAAACAATTTTTTTTAGGAAAACTTAAAAAAAAGAACAGTTTTTCATATTTGTAGCAGCATCTTTCCACAAGCAACTTTGTTAAGGAGGAAATAGAATACATTTGAATAAACTATCATACCTCTGAGACCTATCAACATATCAAATGTGTAAGCATAGTTTGTTTCAAATTGTTTATGTATAGATATGAAATTTTATCAGTTTTCAGATAATGTCTAATATCCTCATAGATGTTTTTTTTTCTAACAGTTGTTTTACATTCGAACTGACTCAGTTATTATTTTGTTATTTATAAGGAACTGGCCCATTAAGTTATTTACTTTGGAGTAGCTGTAGTTTCCATTGCCAATACAAACACACTCCACTTACTGTAGCTAGTAGGTGGTCCTTGGTGTGACAGAACTGTGGTCTACCACCATGGTTGCATGCAGTCAGACATCTGTTCCCCTCCAAGACTTTTAGAAGAAATCAAAATTGAAAAATAAATAAGATTTACCAAATATTAAAATTAGATTCAAAATGTAGTCATCTATCCTGAATATCACAGGGGGATCAGTGAAATTAGTCTTAAATGACTTAAACATAACTTCATAAAAGAAATTTTAGAAGCAGCATTTATAAACAGCCTGAGGAGCAGTCAATGAAATTACTGATATGCTGATGAATTATGAGGATTTTAACCCTTGAATGCCTTTTATCTGAGCAGTGGGGATGCCAAAAAATCATATTTCATGCTGATGGTCAGCTGTGACTGGTCCAGACTCTTGCAGTTCTAAAGATTATGGTACAGTGAACCATTGATAATCCAGTTACAGTTAATCCGGATGTCAGATAATTTGAATCAAAATATAAAAAATAAAAAATGCTGTTTACAGTTGAGTATATACTTTAAAAGATACATGGCATTTAGGAAAGCACATGAGTCACTTGACTGTTCAGACAAAACTTGACAGTTTCTTCACACCTGCATTATTAATTTTTTCCCTATTTCATTTCATGCATCCTGCTGTGTTACAATATATACAGCTTATTTATTTGGCCGTCACAACACAGCAATAAAAGAACTTCAAGGATAATGCCCAGAACTATATCTGGGCATTGTCCTTTAAATTCTTTTATCATTGTGTTGTGACGGTCAAATAAATAAGTTGTATATACTGCATTATTACGTTCAAAATCAAATATGACTTCTGAGTCTTCTACTGATGAATAAATATATTGTCCTTTTATAGTTTTTAAACAGAGGCTCTACAGTGCTATTTTGTTATTTATTTTCATCAGCACTACTTATATTATTAAATTTTCCATTCATTTGTGTTTTAAGTTTCTGCTCCTCCATTTTAGGGCTATCATTTGCTTTACTAATCAAGATTATTGCTTAATCCAGATGATCTTTACCCCCAATTAATCCAGATTAGCAAGGGTTTACTGTATTTTGTTTTCAGAACAGTAAAGATTTGCAAGGCTGAAAATTAGTCATACAAGACTGCATGTTAGCATAATGAATACAGTGACTGGCTATGGGCTGGACTCAGCACTACTTATATTATTAAATTGTCCATTCATTTGTGTTTTAAGTTTCTGCTCCTCCATTTTAGGGCTATCATTTGCTTTACTAATCAAGATTATTGCTTAACCCAGATGATCTTTCCCCCAATTAATCCAGATTAGCAAGGGTTTACTGTATTTTGTTTTCAGAACAGTAAAGATTTGCAAGGCTGAAAATTAGTCATACAAGACTGCATGTTAGCATAATGAATACAGTGACTGGCTATGGGCTGGACCGCCCGAGGGGTCAGAGTTCAAGTCCCACTAGGTTTGAGAATTTTCTCTTCTCCACCTCATCCAGACTGGCTCTGGGGCCTACCCAGCCTCCTATCCAAGGGTACCAGAGCCTCTTTCCCGGGGGGTAAAGCAGCCAGTGCATGAAGCTGGCCACTCACCTCCAGCTAGTGCCAAGGTCAAGAAAATATGGATCTATACATCCACTCCCCCATATACCTTCATGGCATAGTGCTTAATTAGTTAAGCATAAGGACAATTTTACCTTTTACAGGACTGCATGACAAGATGAATGTGTTTCATAAAGTGTGCAATATTTCTGTGTGGGCATGGTTGTGGGAGAGGGGGGGTAAGGAAGAACTTGCAGTATTTGTGATTCTCACAGCAGTGATTATGAAGAGTTATATCTTCTGCTATATAGCATCATGTAGTACATTCAGAGGTAGCCATATTTTGGAGGAACATGTCACCTCCATCTTCAGAGTAGAAGAGTAAGCCAAGCAAAAAGTGAGCGTGAATTGGGCTGCGGTAACCCTGAAGATTGGAGAGACATGTTCCTCCAAAACATTAGTTGACTTTCAGCAGGCTACATGGTCTCATACCCCAGAAGACAAGAGTCCTTGGATTTTTGGTACAAGCAGGAAATATATTTGTTATACATAACAGAGAAAGTTAGTTTAGTGATGTTAGTATTAAACTAACTTTCTCTGTCATGTACGGCAAAGATATTTCCTGATGTACATTTTTAAGTCTTCAGGGATGAATCCCATACTTGTGACCTATAAATTCTCTCTGTCAGTCCTTGAAAGAGGCCATGACCCATTTGTTTCGCCAGACACAAGAAATCCATCACCTTCTGCTGCGTGATCCAATTTTCAGTATGTTGTCCCTAACACAGCAATGTCTGGAGAATATTTTGGATCACCCTGGCTGTCACTATATATGAAATAATGTGACTGGCATAAACTGTGTAATTATTGCAAAGATGCATGCAAAGTGATCAGTGCACATTTCTGAAAGCATCTTTGTTACATATTGTAAATTCCCTGTCTGTGATATAAGCTCCATGGGTCTTCTTACCAGACTTGTTCACTTTGGATTTGCAGGTGACCTGTAAGTGCGATATTTGTGGCCTAGAGTTTTCAGGGCAGATTGTCCTGGAGACACATCTTGCTGGAGCAAAGCATGCAAAAAAGGTACTGTGAGTAAAAATTGGCAACAAAAATCTATGTACACAGATGAGAACTGCTGAAGTGACATTATCACATTGCTTCTAGACATAGCAACACAAAGGAGTCTTGTAGAACGTGATTATCCTGCTTCAGTACAAATTGGAGAAAGAAAGGGAAATAAATGACCATGCTTGACAGTTTTGAATATTCATTAGAGAAGCATGTCACAAATGAGGTGTGCATGAAAATAATATTGCACTACTGATGTAGATAGTTCTACAGACAATTTTTAAATATTCTTTGGTGCAACAGAGATTTTCATCTAAATTAATTTGTATCTTCAGGTGAAATGGTAGTCTTGTTCTTATTTACAGTGTCTCAGTGATTTACTCAATACTTCCTAAATTTTCTCCAGTATTTTACTTTGAATTTTGGCACAGAAAGTTTATATCTAAATGAAGATTCTTGTTTATTTTCACTGAAACATTGAACTCTGCCTTGTATAGGTCAGTGCACAGTCACAATCTGCATTTAAAATGCTTGAGTTTCGACTATTTGTGCGTATGATAAAATTAGCGCCCCCTTTTTCTTTGTCAGCACATCTACAGGTGCAAGCATAAAATTGTTCATTTTTTGTAGTCTGACACTTAACCATGAGATTTATTTATATATATTTAAAATTGGTTGTGTGCCGGTCATGGTAGCCGAGCAGTCTAAGACATGTACTGTCTTCATTCGCTTGGAAACCGGATCGTGGGTTCGAATCCCACTCAGGGCATGGGTGTTTAGTTTGTGTGTGTGCATTTTTCTGTGTTTGTGTACAGGTAGAGGCCTTGTGACGAGCTGATCACCCACCCAAGGAGTCCTACCGAATGTGTAAGATCTAGAAAAACCGAAGTGAACGCAGAAGTTCATGGAGGTAGGCCTAGGTCCACAGGGGCTGTAGTGCCAAGGGGAAAAAATTGGTTGTGTAGTGATTTTTAATATGGTCTGTAAAATAAGCAAAGAAACAAGAATTTTGAACATAAAACATTACAGAGAGAAATGCTATAATTACACTGTTTCACAGAATGTAATGCTTATGAAGGAAAATATAGGTGGAAATGCTGTAATGGGCGTTCCCTGCATGTTAAAAATAAGGCTTTAATATCTTTGATTATGTTCAACTGTAGAAACAAATACATTATCCCCACTTTCTCTTGGACAGTGGCTTTCAGCCATTTGTGACTCATATGAGGCCTACCCATGAAACAGCAAAATATCTTTTAAGAATATGCCGTTTCTAGTAGGTGCAGAAACTGAGCTTCCCACTGAACAGTTACATACCAAAAAAGTGGTAGCACATAATAAAAATAATAATATGAACATAAATTGTCATTGAAAAGAAACAAGTAATTTAAAAATGTCACTGGTTGTAAAATGGAAATTTAAAAATTTATATTTTAATATACCTATGTTTGAGGACAAAAGTGAAGTAAACAGCAGAGTGGCAATTGCCTGTAGACTGCTAGTTGAAAAATGGACTGGAAGACCACCTTTGATTCATTGAGATAATGACGTATCTTCTTGAGGGAAGTGTCTTCCAATTAATGTAACAGCTAAACGATAAGATGGTTGTTGTCACTGTGCAGGTAAAATCACAGGAGATTCTGAAGCAACTGCAGAATAGTGGCCAAACCTTCACACGGGATGAGAAAACGAGGATTCTCAAGTGTGAGGTTTGCGATGTGGTAGTGAATTCCTCCCAGCAACTACAAACCCATCTTGCAGGTACATTAATTACATTGCAATTCAAGAGTAACTAATGGGTCCCTGAAATAGGAACAGTTTTGTAAATTTGTATCAGCATGACCACAGCATCCAGCATGCAGAAGGTGCCATTGCTTCTGTCATATTTGGAAGCTCCTGGGTGCAATTCTTGGCTGAGAGGTCAGCTGTCTTGACTTAGGTTTTTCATGGAGTTTCCTCAGTCCCTCTGGATGAATTCTGGTCCAGTATCTTAAAGTAGTTTTTGACCCATTTCCTTGCATTGCTTTCTAATTAATTTCTCACTATCATCCTCCCACTCAGTTTTCTTGACCTGTGCTGTTGAGAAAGCATTATTAAATAAACCAAGAAACATGTTGAGGGTTGCTGTGTTCTTCATAAGGAGATAATAATCACACAGATATTGAAGGAGTGTTTTGCCTTCTGTGAAACTCAAAGATTGGTGGCCATATTCACCTATCATTGGATGCTATTCAGAACCAAATAAATCCATTTTACGTTATCACACCCAACGTGGCTTGGCCGTCTCTCTTGACGCTTTGTCAATCCCTTTCCCTCTTACATGTTTCATTCCCTTGAGAAAAGTTCATTATGGCCCATACATAAATTTTAACAGGCATGAAACTGTGGTTATGAAGTTTGGCAGGTAAGTTAAGTGTGATCATGAGCTTAGAAGTGGTGTACAGCAATTGTATATGGAGAAACGGTGCATACTATGAGACAAGAAGTTATTTCAATGCTGGCAGCGACACAACAAGAAGAGAATAGTGCAGTGGTATAAAGCGAAATAATGGTGGACTAGACAAATTGACATCAAGATCTTAAGTTCCTGCTGACAGTAACTGCTCCAAAACATATGCTTGACAGTATTATCCTCCAATCTGTGCCAAGCTTTCCCAACTTAAACTTTATATTCATTTCTCACTTCTCCTACATATGCTGATGTGACTTTTAATCGCATCATCATCCTTCATTTGATCACCTAAATAATATTTGGTAAAAAATACAAGTTATGTAGCTCATTATGCAGTTTTCTCCATGGTTCTGCAACTTCCTCTCAATTTGAATGTATGAGGGGTAGGCCTTCTCGGCCCTTGCACCACGACATACAGTGGTCTCTTGTGCTTTCCTCTCAATTTGGTACAAATATTCTCCCCTGTGCCCTAATGTAATACTCCCTCATTGAACAGTTTTAGAAATGTCACTGAAAATCAAGGTTTAATGGGAGAATAACGTCATTCATCTTCCTATACAGTACTGCATTACCAATACACTTGAATGTGAGCCACTCAATAAAGTAAATAAACATTTGTAATTTTAGTTCTGGAGATATTTATTTTATTTTAACATTGAATTATACATATATATCTATATATTTGCATTACCCACAGCATTAATACAGTTTGCTGAAAGACCAAAAAATTAAGAAGTTTATTGTATTTTCAGAGACAAGTGCTCATGCAGATGATATGGGTATGTGATTTCAGTTGTATAATACTGCCTAGTGTCACAACCAATGAAGGATTGGCTTAGCCCAAAACATGGCATGATAAACAGCTAAAGATTACAGAGAAGAACATTATAAAGTTTTCCACACCTGCAGTAACTTGATGATCACACAGAGCTATTGTTTGCAGGCAGCAAACACAAACAGAAAGCATTGAAGAAAGGTGCATTAACGAATGCTGCTCAGAAACCAGCACAGACAAGTACAACCACCAGCAACAACACTACCACCACTACCACTACCATTACCACAGCAACCACCACAGGAACAAGTGCGATCAGCAGCAAAGGTACAGATGCTAGCAACTACGAGTGCATGGCTCCACATGGTGTTCCACAGTTGTAATCGCTTTATACCTTGTTTTGGAGGCCATTCACATTAGTGGCATAAGCTTAAGACAGGATGGGGTTCTGCCTGTATCTTGCCCTTGTGTGCATTTTTTTCAGTTAGTGCTTTTGCAACAAAATCTTAAAAGAAGTTAATTTCAAAAATGTAATATTTAAGTTGTATTGATTATGTGCACAATGCACAATGCGCATGAAAGGATCAAGCATATTTAGCCTTTTGAATGTGGAGTATATCTGCAGCGTACTTGCACTGTTTATGCTGACAGCTATGCTGTGTTTAGAAGTTTAAAAATAATTCCAAAAACTACTGTGTGTAAATTATTATTATTGTTGTTTTTGTTGTTGTTATCATCTCCTCCATATGAGTTTCTGTGTTTTGTGGGTAATCCTGTGAAGCAGTTTTATCATTTGTTTTCATCGCCATTTTACTCTTATGACAGTGATGTGAGGGGGAAGTGATTACTCCATGTGTTGATTGGTAAAATCATACAGACAGTTCCATATGTCTGACAGGAGCAGTTGGGATTGCTTAGCACACAAACTGTTGATTATGAATTGGATGGACGTGAATTACAAAGCTTTTGGATAGGAAACTATGAGAGAGACACTAGGTAATTTACATTAATGTAAATGGATTTTAACACCCAAAGTGACAAGTTGTCATTTTCATTTGATCTTATTATTTCTAAATGATGTCTGTGATGAATTTATACATATGCTATTATTGTGAATGGTCCCCAAATGTAAATGGTGGTTGTGTTGGCTTTCAGGTTTGAAGATATGCTAGCACATTAACAGTGGGGGCAGATTGTCTGTGGTTTGTCACTGTAGACCAAATATTGTTATTTTTAAGTATGAAGATAGCAGTATTGAGTGAAATTGATGTAAGCCCAAAAGTTTCAATTCCATTTTGAGCACTGTAGAAAAAATAAACGAGTATCTTCAGTCCATGAATTCTCTTTTACTGCAATTTCCCATGTATGTACATTTTTGTGGTAGTGAATATGAGGATATTTTGCATTTTGTGTACAGGTGATCAGGTCTGTACATTGAATAGCTTACTCTTCATCTCTATAACTTCATCTTAAAACATTTTCATTAATTATATTACATTACATTAATTACAGAAAATGTTTCTATATGGACACCTCCATGAATCAGGATAGCTCAGTTGGTATAGCTATGGGTTGGACATCTGGAATGCAGTTCCCAACAAGGGCAAGGTTTTTCTCATCTCCATAGTGTCCAGTCTGACTGTTGCCCATGCGGCCTCCTATCCAGTGGGTATCAGCAGCTATATTCTTGGGGATAAAGCAGCCAGGGCATGTAGCTGACCACTCACATCTGTCTAATGCCTAGGTCAAGAATGGAGCTATACCTGCACTTCCCATGTATCTTCATGACATAGTACTTAATTAATTAAGTACAGAATCAGTTCTACCTTTTGCCTCATATAGGCACTGCCATTAAATGACATGAATCTTTGTTGACTACCAGTGTACTCAATTTTAACTTTTTTTTTNGTGTAAAACATTAGATTGAGAAGAAACATATGGTGCCTCACTGTTCCCTGTTAAAATTCTGTATTAATTTTTTCTTCCCAGTCTAGTTACATCTGTAAGCCAGCTTAAGTTCCTTGTTTGTTAATACTAGGTAATGCACAAAAGAAGAAACGTCTTCTGTTAGGTGAATATCTTCTTATTACACTGCTTTTCATCATTGTTACATGTGAGATTTTAGGTTCTTAAAGCCTTGAATATTACGATTGCATTCTTGTAGGAAGTGACACTAGTTGATAGGTAGGTACCATCATTTCATAAGTAACTGCTGCAAGACCCTTTACTGGTCAAGTTAAGGTTTATCCAACTAATACAGAATACTCACTAAGAATGCTGTTGTTTCCATATCTCTTGAACTTGGTAATAAAATTTATTATACCCAGTGGAAGGCATATCATTGTTATTGAAAGCACATCCTAAAAAATTAAAAGCTTGTAGAAAGTAGCTGTCACATGTTTATAGTTACAGTGCATAAAGAGTATGGGGATGGAGGGAGATTACAGCAGAAAGGAAGTGGCATGCCTCCTATAGATCACTTTATCACTCATAACATACATGTTACAGTGTAGCCTGAGAACATCTGTTAATGTATTTCCTTATGTTACTGCATGTTAAATCGGTGTCACGAATATCAGCTGTAAAGGAAAATAGCCCTTCTGTTTTGCAAGTTTACAGAAGAAATATACACACGTATAAAGGCCAATATGTCCAATTTTATCATTACATGTTAGTGCTGGCTGAAGTTAAAATAGGAGCAGAAGATAGCAGCAGTGGAAAATATGCTTGTTACAGCATCTCAATTGGAGTTGCCAAGAAAGCAGTCAGGGACTGGCGGAACAGAAATCACAAAAAAACATTGGGAGTCCTTAACTGAACTGAGACAAGCAAAGTGACTTATACTAGGGCCTTCTGTCAGAAGAACAAAGGCTCAGTTAAAATTAAACATAGACCAGTTAAGAAGAGTGGTAAGACTACTTACAGGACACTGTCACCTAAAAGGACACCTTTTCAAACTGGGACTGACAGATGACCCCACTTGTGAACCGTGCCGAGAAAAAGATCAATCAGCCACACACCCTATTTATTTGTGAGGCTAGAGCATATTTAAGATTTTGTCACCTGTGCCATTTTTTTATGGAACCAAGTCACTATTATGATGCCCCCATATTCACAGTCCTACATTTCGTCCGAAGTGTAGGATTGATAAAGGGTTAACCAAAAGGGGGAAGCACAATAGATCATTGAAGGTTGCAGTGCAATATCTGGAAAGGCTGAACTCTTATGCATTCATTCATCATTCACTACTGCTGTCTCCACTCTAGTCAAGAAGTAATTCCTCTATGTTATATTTTAGCGTCCTGTTGCACTGATTTAAGTTCATGATTTGTTTATTCCGTCTTGCAGTGCATACACTTGTCTATCTTCTTCTCTCACTCTCACTACATGTTTCGGCATAAGGATGCCATCTTCAGGNAACAGCATCATTTCATGTATATTGTTATTCTGTCACGTGTTAGTATTTAGTACTTATTGTTTTTCTTATTGTGAATGCAGCTGTCTTTCCAGAATTTTACTAGTTATTGGGGTTCGGTATTTTGGGCGAAGTTTGTTTCTAACAATTTCTGATTGAAATTTCAACGTGCTGTATGCTAGTCATCTTATGTTGGGTTGAGTACTGTTTCATTTCCCATGATCCAGCATTACTGCCCTTGGAAAGCCTTGAACCCTAAACAACGACTGTGCTGGCTAGGCACATATTTTCTATATAATAGTTGTTTGATTGTGTTTAATGTTTGATTGTTTGGTTTTGCTTTGTCTGTTTTAACTAATGGAGACGATCTGCAGAGTAAGTGTAAGTTGATACAGTATTAAGGTACATAAAGACATGCAAGCATGGAGAATTGCTATAGTTGTTTTGTCAAATTTGTATTGGAACATGGATATAATTACATTTAGATTATACTTCAGTACATGAATATTAAAGGAAGATAAGGAATGTGAGAGCAATGAAGAAACAACATTCACAAACTCCTTGCACAGTACTTCCCCTTCACTTGAAAGTAGCTGGTCCCCGCAGCTTGTACAACAGAATTTTCGCAATTGAATGTTCTGATTAATAGGCAAACTGTAGTTCACAGCGAATTGAGTTTCAGGAGATCTTTTAGTTCCTTATGTGGCACAATGGATTACATCACCCTGCATGTGTCGCTACATGTAATGAACTACCACTGCTGGGACTTGATCCAAAGTCGTCCAGCTTGTAGCCTGTCACTTTCTGGCTCTCTGTCATATGTTGTAATATTGTTTAACATCTGAAGTACTGAATTTACATCTCATATGTTTGAAGATGTTGTCCTGCATGACAATGAAAGTTTAAAATACATATGACAGTGGTTGATTGGTGAAAATGTAATAACCATGTAGGATTTGAGGTTCTCACAACAATGGTTATGAAGATTTTTGTCTTCTGGGATGTAACACCATGTAATCTGTTGTAAGTCAGCCAGCCTTTTGGAAGAACATGTCACCTCCATCTTCATGGTCAGGAAATAAGCCAAGCAAGAAACCAGTGTGAAGCAGATAGCGAGCATCTGTGCAACACATCCTTCAAAACGTTGGTTGACTTTCAGTGGATGACATGGTGTTATATCCCCAAAGACAGAACTCTTCATATAATAATCATGTACATAAATTATTGGTACATAAACTTAAAGTTATTCAGCATCTGAGGTTCTATCAGAGTGTCAGCTCTTGAAAAATCAAAATGTACACTCACTTCTTAACTAAACCTGAAAGTACACAAACAAATTTTGATAGTGACATGTCCTCCACAGCAGGTGCAATAACTATATTGCTATGACTTGGTTACCAAAGCCTTATTTGTGACAGCATGTGCAGACAATGTTAGCACCAAGGTAATGAAAGTTTTAAGATAAGACATCTTTCCTCTTGCACCTTGTATGCCCATAAACTTGTCTTCAGAATTAGAAGATATAGAATTACATTACATTCCATGTCTTGGTTTCATAACATAGGTTAAACTGTGACCCCCCCCCGCTCTCCAAACCTCTTTGAAGTTTTCAAGCCACTGGTCTTGAACAGAACTTTAAGTAAATTTAGTTAATTTAGATGTCCAATATGCTAAGTATGTTGGACATTAAATTTACCTCAGTAAGTTTATTGCATTGTGAGATACAACAAAATATAAATACATGCAGAAAAATATGTATAGTGAGCTGTCTTCTGATAAAAATCATCAAGCTGTGGCATTATTTTCCTCTATTTTTATGGATCATAAGATCTGTTTGCTATATTTAATTTAGCCTTGTGCTAAATTTTAAATTTTCTCATTACAAGTGTAGTCATGATAAATGCAAATTTGTACATATAGTCTGAAGATGCAGTAGATTGGTGGTAAGTCAAGTCGGTAGTTACACTTTGGTTGTATTCATGATATTACTGCATGATGATGGTCTGAATGTATGGATTTATTTTGTGTTATGTCTTTTTCTTTTCGTGTGCGCCTCTGGTCTCGGCTTGTTCGATGAATCAATCTGATTTATTATCCCATCAGTAATGCAACCCTTGGCAGGTGGCTGATGTGATACATAGATAGTATTGATGATCAGTGGTGCTGGTAGGTTCGGATGCTGGGACTGCAGCAAAGGAGGTGACCCCTGGACCTGCAGCTGCAGGAGAGGTTCCCGCAGGTGTTCAGAAGCTGCCCGACGCAGCTGGGACAAAGGCCAACAAATACTTCTGTGACACATGTAGTGTGTCCCTTAACTCAGAGATTCAGCTGGAGCAGGTCAGTAACTATCAGTATTTGTCCGTGGTGTGGATTTTGGTGACTCTTCTCCCATTATTTTCTGACAGTGTACATTGTCACTGTGGTCTTGAACTGTATCTTGTTTGTCATGTAAGAAATGTTATGTATTAGTACATACAAATAATGTTACCATTCTCAGGATTACAGATAACCATGCACATCACCACCAAGAACCTCTCTCAAATCCTTCCCAGCCTTCTAATCGGCTTGAATATTACTGCCCTTCCTCTAACTAGCACATTTCCTCATCGTTTTTTTAATGCTAGTGGGGTGGGACTAAGTCCATTATACTGCGGCCACTTCTGGCCTAGTGTACCAGCCCCAGATGATAGGTGAGGGTGATTGTGGAGCAATTGGTGGAATGAAGATTGGCAGGGGAAATCGAAGTACTTGGAGAAAACCTGCCCCAGCGCCACTTTGTCCATCACAGATCACACTTGACCAGACCCTGGATCAAACCCGTGCCGCCGCAGTGGGAAGCCAGCGACTAACCGCTTGAGCTATGGTGTTGCCTTTCTCATCATTAGTATGATGTCTCATTGCCCTCTCTACCCATCTTTATATTATCTCTTGTTCTTGATACCACCATCATCAAAATCTCTGCCCCAACCACACTCATTTTCAGTATTCCACATGCTCACCTCCATTGTCCTTATCCTCCCATATCTCTCATCTCCTCTTTCCTTTGTCATCTCCGTTCCTCCCAATATACAATACCTCTGCCACTTCAGGTGTACCACTATTCTTCTTTTGATGGTGGCAGGGGATCCTCATTGGTTGTTGTCAGTCCTTTAGCTGTCAGCTGCTGGAAAGAAGTGATGACTTGGAAGAGAAAGGTAAATACAGGAAAGGCCTGAAAGCAGAGATTTTATAAGGCTTGTATGGATGACTTTTATGGAGGTGGATTAGAGGGCAAGAGGATGCCTATGTTGGGATATTGGTGTCTGTATGTATGCCAAGAAGTTACAAGTTTGCCTGGAAGAACATGGAAGATGAGATATAATATATAGAAGAGAAGTGGAGGCTAGAAGTTGAGAAGGTAACAGTTGTCCAGTTGGTGGTCCTTGTGCAGCTGCTGATCATGGGATCTGGCACTGGTGGTTGGTGGTGACACATCTGTACCTGATGCCTTCCATGGATACTCCTGCACAGCTGCTGCCATGGTTGTCCACAGGTGTTGCTCCTGATACTTCTCTTCATTGTTTTTATGTGTCACTCTGTTGTTCTGGCTGTTTGATGCTGTGAAATTATAACAGTAATTGAAATTTATCATTTCTGTTTCGCATTTGTAAACATCAATTGTCTCGTGTTGAATGTCATCAATTGCCACCAAACTAATGCTGCCATCTAGTGGCGATAGCCTCAAGTGCCTCATTCAAACATGTAGTACCCCACATCAATTTGTAACTTACTTATTGACTCACCTATGTATAATACCTTAGTAATTAGTTGATTAGTGGGAACTCTCATATAGACTTGAAAGCTTTCTGACAATGGTGTATACTGTACTTATTTTGGCTTATTTTGGACTTGATTGAGACTAGCTCTTTCTAACGGGCCCAACTGAGTAGGTTTATCCTTCCCCACCCACCTGAAGATGGAGACAGATCCAGTCTCTGAAACATCGCGGTCTTTTGTCTTTTACATACCAGACGATGGATGAAGTGCAAAATAAGCCAAAAGAAGTATGGGAACTCTCATCTCCATTAGCAATAAAATAGCTCAAAAACATCAATTGCATCCACTGAAGTTGGCTCCCAAAGCTGTAATAAAGATCTGCATTTGAACGCATACATACACACACCCTGCAGTTTTATGAATTGCTCTATGTAATGGATGGTTTGAGTTATATCTAAAATTTCATTACTGAGACATGTTAAAAAGATTTCAAATTATCATTTGCTTCCGTTGCTGCATCGTGACCCAAATCTGCTGATGAGTTCCCCTTCTTTGGTGATCCACAGAAGTGAAAACTGCTAGCACACAATCTGAGCTGAGTGATAGATGGGTATGATATTCCCAGTAGTCTCTAGAGATGTTGGGAGCACAGGGCATTCTTCTTCTCAGTTCCTGAATCACAGGACAACAGTGAGTGCATGCTGCTGTTGGTTAGAACTGAGGCGCCCGAAGGAAACAACGAGCTGCAATTCCTTCTATATATTTTTAGGGCAAATGTGTCAGTCACTCTTATAATTATGTAGATAAGAGAAGGTTTGTTCATTATATCTTGTTGTGAGGAGTAGTGTCTCTTGGGGTATGATGCTATGCAGTCTGTCTAAATTTGCTTACATTCGGTAGGAACAGTAAGCTAAGTGAGAGGAGGAATGCAGATAGGCTGATACAGGAGCCCATATTGGCCCAATAGGAGCAGAGCAAGGAGAAGGGAATCTTACATGGGCTGTTTTTATCTGAAGGAAAAATGGGAGAAAAAGGTCTCAATTGCCAAATGGTAGATTTAGAAGGGCCTAGAGAGTAATAAGGGTAGTAGGGAGAGATGGAGGAAAGGAGAAGTGAAAGAGGAAGGAGGGCAGACAAGACATGATAACTCAAAATGTACTATTCTTAGTCACCACCATAAGAACTGTAAATCTCACATTCCTTGTTTTGTTAGACATCATATTGAAGTAATAAATGCAAGTTGTATACATTCTGGATGTCACTTATTAAACAGCTGTCATGTAAGCCCTTGGATACATTTAGGAATGAAAGTTTCTGTGGTACAGAAGCAGCAATCAGCTGCCTGTAGTGCCTGACATGATGATAGAAAACCTTGTCTGTGAAGGAACGGTGGAATATTTAACTTTCCTTACCGTAATTAATAATTGTGAAAAATGGAATAGAATTTCACAATGGTATCTTTCATTGCATACTGGACACATAATATCTTGAGTCTGATTTCTAAAATTAGTGCCAAAAGTTTTCAGTATTACTGACATGCTGATTATACCAGGCAACAACATGTGGTGTGGAGGCTTAACATACTAGAGTATGTCAGATGATGCTGAAGGCTTATTCCATTTTTAGTAGTGACATGCCACCCATATGAATCCCCTGAAAGAAACATGCCCAGCCTTTATGTTTTTGGAACTGGTAATCTCTGCATATGACATTACTGTACATTCTTCACTCAGCGGGCTTAATAAAAGTTAAAGTTGTCCCCTGTGCTTAACTAATTAAGCACTGTGCCATGAAAATATACAGGGGAGTGATGTATAGATCTACATATTCTTGACCTCGACACTAGTGGAAGGTGAATGGTTAGCTTCATGCCTTGGCTGCTTTTTTCCTTGGGAAAGAGCTCCTGGTACCCAATGGATAGGAGGCTGGATGGGCCCCAGAACCAGTCTGGATGACTTTGAGAGGAGAAAAATTTTTCCCCTACCAGGACTTGAACTCTGACCCCTTGGCTGCTCAGCTCATAGCCTGTCGCTATCCCGGCTCTTGAGGAGCTTTATAAAATATATATCATTTCTATCTAAACATGTAAGATATATTTTGAAGTTCAGCAACCAATACACTTCTTTTTATAGAATGGTTGATGTGTAACTCAGATACTGTTAATATCCTCTGTTATTAACATGTTACAGCATTTGGGCTCTAGGAAACACAAAGATAAACTTCTGAATGGGGGAAGAAGCAAACCTCGAATGGCGCCATACTGGAAGAAGCCACGCCCAAGCTACCAGCAGGCAGGGAAACCTAACAAGATGGCAATGGCAGCAGTTCATTATTCCCAGCCGCTTTCCAACAACTTTGTGAGTGGTGGAGCCATGATGTGAAGTGTTGAGCACCTGGGTATCTGATATTCTGATTGAGTTGCCACATGTTCCTTGCTAACAAAGAGAAATCTAGACACTGTAATGCGGTTCAGCCAGCTGTGTCAGTATAGTTGATATACCATTCTTTTAATTCAGACAATATTAATTGTAATTATCCCTCCATTAAGTTGTCATTTGCTTGAGAAACTGCCAAACAAATTCATAATACATTGTAAACTACAATATGTTTTTAGAAATAAACAATAAAATGTTAGTATGTGTTTATATGTATATATACATACATATAAATTACAAATGGGATAAGTGTTTCATGTGATGCTGTGCCTGGCAGTGTGTCTGTTTTGTGCAGATGATTTCTGCAGACAGTATTTATCCTTGCTGAGCCCTTCCCTGATTTTCCTCAGTCCGTCCAAGTAAATATGAGTGGTTCGTAACTGATCCCTTGATAGGAACCTACCTATTTAATATCTCTGAAGCCATTATTGATTGTCAAAAAAGTACAAGTATACACAAAAGTTGGTGAGAAAATTAATTATATTTTATTAAGTTTTATATATTTTTTTGTTAGCTTTGAATTGTTCATTCCTGTATTCAGGACCATTATGCACAACTCTTTATAGCTGGGGATTGCAGATTTGTAGCTAAATGTAACATCTAAAGACAGTTTACACCCCAGTCTTCATGTTGTCTAATAATTAGAAACAGTCTTACCATGCATTTGGTTCATCTAGTGGTTGGGTATAGTTGCCGTTATGGTAGGATTTCATCTCAGTTAAGTTCCAAGCAGATCTGAAAATGATAAGCAACACCTTAGTTTGTATGGTATCTTCACAAAGAATATCCAAGTTATTAGAGATTTGAGAGCAAAAGTCAGGAATATGTTCTGTCTTCTGACAAAGTACCTTTGTGAAATTTTACGTCTCATTTTTTGGTATCTGTATATCAAAATTTTGTTTCAGAAAGTGATAAAGAATTAACTTTCATATGATAACCCAGAATTTTTTAAAATTGTGTCTGTTTGTACTCAAATTACTCATATTCAGTTTGATTTAAATCTGTTAAGTACTCTTTGTTGTTTTCATAGTGGTGATTATACAGATTGTGGTCTTATGGGTCATGACACCATTAGTCTTCTAGGTGGATACCAACATTTCAGAGGACTATGCTGCCCTTATCAACAGAGAGAGTTTCACCCTCAAGATGGAAGGAACATGTTTTTCTGAATCTATGATGTCCATCTACAAGAACACATGATGTCACATCCCGTAAGACCAAAATCTGCTAACTATTTATGTATAAAAATTGGACTTTCATTCACTTGAATTTGTAATTTCATTTATATACTTACTCTTGGTTCTACAGTTCTCTGAAAATTTTGGCCTCTTTTATGGCATACCCTATTTTTTCTCCATTATTTGCCTTTTTGCTCCATATGTGTAATTTTAGTTTCATGGTATGCAGTAAGCCAAATTGGTGCATGTCAGAGTAGAAGCCTACTGAACTGTTAAATTATAACCTTTAAAAACAATAATAAGCATAGATGCACTAATCAAGAGAATGGTAGAAGCTTGTATAAAACTGACCATGTTCGCTTCATTTCCAGTGAACAGTTTATATCTAGGAAGGAGCGGGGCCAGTTATTAACTGACTAAATATTTGTTTGCACATCACAGCATTCTAGATTTCCCATTGGAATGAAGGAGACGTGGCAGCAAGTCTTGTCTATAGACGTACATTAAGAAGTATTGTTTAAATGATGGTATTGTGGCCTTCATTTTCCATGTAAACTTTGTATATTTTGTTCCCTTTCAATTTGTTTTTATGGAGAGAGAAATATTTTTATGTCTGATGTGTTGCTTGAATTGTGGATTGGATTTGTGACACATCGATTGTATTTTAGCTTGCCTTCATATATCCCAGTGACAGACCTGTGGAAAAGAAAAGTTGTTTCTTTGTGATTTGCATATGTATACAGTGGATAACAGAGGTATTTGTTCTTGATATTAGGTGATGATCCTTGGATGTCATTGTCACTGTTTACCATTGGGATGCATTGATTTACTTGGTTGTTAGTAGGTTCTGTAATTGGATTTGGTGATCCATGGCTTCAGTTTCATGAATTTACATGATTTTCTTCAGTCCCTGGTGAATATAACATGTCTTGTAACTGTGTTTTGGTGATAAATCAGCCATTGTCAACTCACAAAAAGCAAATTGTGATAAAGATACGAAGTTTAACAGCCTGCTGAGCTGTGTATTATGGTGTTAAAAATGATTGTAGACCATATGATCATAATATATAAGGTAAATTCTTATTTCCAAGAGGATTTGATTGTGTATGATGACAATACAAAGAAATGTATGGCATAATTGTTGTGGGAGAATGGAAATGTTAGTTTTCACTAATGTTGAATTGAATTAATGAAACTCAACAATGTTAGATTCCTGCATATTAAACCACGACTTTTATGAAGTAATGAGAATTATGTGTGACACACTAAGTGTAGGAAGGTGACTTAGTGATGCTGACTTCAGTATATATTTATAAAGACAAGTTTCTATGTGTATAAACCATCATAATACTGTATTTACTGAAGTATATTTCACACGACTTTCCTCAGAGTATGATTCTAATGCCAGGTATTATGTATACGCCTTGAGAGTAGTTCCCAGAAGTATTTTGTGTGATACTTCTGGTTCCTATCTTTGCCCATTAGTTTGTCTGAACTTGTCATGTCCACTTCAGGATGGCTGTCATGTACATAAATCTGATGAGACAAGAATGGTTCTTTTGATTCCTGCTTAGTGTATGTGATTGTAATGCGTGTAGGATATGCGAGATATGTATAGAAAATTTTGATCGGAAAACTGGATGAAGATTTGAATGACGTAGATTAACATTCACTGACAGGCTGTTGTGAATACAGTGGTGTAAAGGTAAAGCTCTCCCTGTAACAGGCCATGAGGCCCCTAAGGTTGTCAGACATTGAAGCTCACACATTTTCTAGACAGACAGCTGACCGATAGCACTGAGGTTATCAGTCGAACGTGCCAGACGATTCCTGGTACTCATTTCTGTTAGAGGCTGAGTCAACCCCAGAGCCATAGTGCAGCTGGAAGGATTAAGTCAATTGAAAAATCCCCCCACCCCCCATGATGTAAGAGCAAGAAAAATGTTGACCTTCTCTTCCAGGAAGACTTCATCATGTTGTTAATTAGCTGCTACTCAAGGAGGTTCAAAATAAATTGAAGTATGCCCCAACCATAGCAATTAATACTTGAACACTATAATAGGTTAGGTTTTCTCATCCCATCACTATTACCATATCCTTTGTCATAACCAGGACCCAGATTTTGATGACATGTCATCCTTTTTTCCTTGTATCCTATGCGATGCTCTTAAATATATAAATGTTGGATATAAGCTGCTGGTTACAGAAATTTAAATTTTATAGGTAATTTTTTGTCATTTTTAGGTTTAAGGTCATTTTTTCATTTTGGAGGTAATTTTTTGGAAGCAAAGTGTTCCTTCTTTTCTCCTTTAGGTCATTTTTCTGGATTTTTTTCGGACATGTTGTAGTCATTTTTTTTTTAATATTTTCAGGTCATAAAATCCGGGCCCTGCATATTACATTTTCGGGTCATATTTTAGGTCATTTTTCTGGACTTTTTCGGTCATTTTATAGGTCATTTTTAAAAAATTTTAGGTCATAAAAATCTGGGCCCTGGTCATAACAGTTGTTGTAAGTAAACATAGCAAATAACAAGTTGGGTTTGTGTGGGGAGAGCAGTAGTAAGTGTATGTATACTGTGTTTAGTACCAGGTGCAAATAAAAGTTGACGTAGTAAAACAGGTGGGCAGAGTGGAATGAATTTAGAAGGAGAAGTTTTTGGAGAGATCAGTGGAGGAATACAAAGTAGTTCTGAATGTTATCTGGTTATAAAAAGAATATTGTTGAGCAAGATCACAAAACAGTAATCTTGTAAAGCACATTTTAAACCGTTAGTAACATATGATACTAGAAGATAGAAACTTACAGAGAGGGGGAAAAAATCAGAAACCCCAACCAGTTTCTCTTAAAGTTTTTATGAAGTTACGAGAGAAAGGAGAGAATTAGAAATTCAGGATTTAGGGACAAAATTAAAATTCTGAATTTGTTTGTCACATTAGAAGAGAGGGAGAGTTACTGTGGTTTGGCCGTGTAGAAGGAACCGATAGAAAGAGATTACTGAGGATATTAGAACTGAAGTTTAAAGGAAGAACACATTTGGTATGACTCCGGTTTAGCCAGATACTGGAAGACTTAAAAAAGAAATGAAAGAACTTGACAGAAATCAAAAGATAAAAATTGAATGAAGAAAAGAGAGATTAGAGACTTTTTGTCCATAAACCCATATAAAACAGAAATGATGCTGGAAAAAGGGAGGGAAGGAGGAAGAAAAATAAGTAGTAAATTTGTATTCATTGGTACTATGTGGTTATTAATTCTTACACAGTTGTACCCTTGACTGCCATGAAAGTGTTCCAAGGGTTAGGTTATACTGCTGATATGTATTTGAGATTACCACAGGTGTCTGTTAATAAAGAATAATGGAATATAAAGTGATAAAATATCTTGCAGTAAATGTACTATAAGCCAGTCACGGTAGTCGAGCGGTCTAAGGCATGTACTGTCTTCGCTCGCTCGGAAGCTGGGATCGTGGGTTCAAATCCTACTCAGGGCATGGATGTTTGTGTGCGTTTTTCTGTGTTTGTCTACAGGTAGAGGCCTTGCGACGAGCTGATCACCCGCCCAAGGAGTCCTACTGTATGTGTAAGATCTAGAAAAACCAAAGTGAATGGAGATGTTCATGGAGGTAGCCCACTGGGGCTGTAGTGCCAAGGGAAAAAATGTACTATAAAGGAAGGGTGAACATGTAGAGTGTGATGTTGTGTTTCAAGAGGCTAGTTGTGATGTGGTTATAGCTTACATAAATCTCTTTGAAGGGGATACCATGACATCTTTTTCATAACATTTCACTTAGATGTGGTCCACAGCCCGCTTATGGTGTGTACTGTTAAGCATTAGAGAGTTCAGTATATTTACAGAGAAAATATTTTGAAAAATGAATGTGACATATATTTCAGTTAATATGGTATATTTTGTTTTATTTAGGTTCTGTTTTGTTGTATGGCTGTGACTGGAGTAGCATAGTTCTGTTAAGTTTATGTGCCACTGTGGCTTTGATCCACAGTTATTGCAAGTGGCATTCTGTTAATAATGTTGTTAATGTAGTTCAACCAGTGATTGCCATACAGCTACTGGGTAGCCGTAGACTTGAATTGCACAGGTTATCATAGGATATATAATTCATGTTAAGATGTCTTACTTCTGAGACGGTTACATTCAAACTTTAGACATGTTGATGCATGTCTGATATGTTTTTCCGAACCTACTGCCTCTTATATGAAGTACATTGAGGAAGTCCATGTGTCTCTTGTTTGCACCAAATGTTATGTTTGATTATCATGTTGTACCATACAGCAGTTGCTGTTGCCTATGTAGAAAGTAATTACAGAATAACTTTGTGTATTCAGACTTTCATAACTGCCTTATTTGTCATATAAAATGAAAACAAGTGGCATGAGGCTGAAGACAAATATCTAACATTTACAGTTTACTACTGCCTCATATGGATGTTGGAGTTGTTGTGGTAGGCATATTATTGCAGTTCAGTCCCCTGTCACGCTTATGGAACATGTTAGGAGTGACATTGAAGGCCTAATCTCGCCTTACATTTCAG